CGGTTTATTAGTCCTGGATAATCCAATCCAAGTTCTTTTCACCAGATTCTAAAGATTACAGGGGTGGGAATTGGGGGCCTGGGTCCCTCAGGAGCTGTCCAGTGATTAAAACAGATCTGTGGAAAAAAAAATAATAAAATAAAACAGATCTGCGGTTATACAGTGAGGTGCCTGCCAGGGCAGCAAATCCGTTTGTGGAATAGAACCATGAAGACTGGCATGCCAGGCCTTCAGGTGGGCGGGGCCCCCATCTCTTGGGGGAAGCAGTGGCTTATTTAACCCCCTCAGCCACCCTAGGAAAGTTGGAGGGGAAATGGTCTCTTGTCTTGATTTGGCTGTTTATCCTTGTGCCCTTGACTCGTCCAGAGTAGTCTGATGGTCTAAAGGAAGCCCGAGGATCCATTCACATCTGGTCATAGGGGGCTTAGAATATGTGGCACTTAACTTCACAGCCCCAATCCTCAACTCCTCAGCTCATATGCTGCTTGGCGTTTGCAGGGGAACAGCAGAAGGTGGAGGGGCTTGTCTGTGTGTATTGGCTCATAGCATATGTAGGCTTTTGGGGTAGAAACAGTACTGGTTTTCCCCCTTGTGTGGAAATCTATGACATGCCCTCACCTCACCCAAGGAGAACAACAGATCATTACCTCGAAAGATGCTGCTGGTGCTCGAAAGATTAATGCTTCTTGAAGAGTTTCTGTTCTCTGATCTCAAATTCTCCTGGAGATGCTGGAAGCCCTTGGGGTTGGTAATGGGGCTGGAAATCTTACCAACTTGGGATTTAAGTTTTGTTAGGGTAAAGGTAGAGCAACGTGCAAAGCTCTATGTGGAGGGTGTGGTCTCCAGTTGGCTTCTGAGGGAGACCTCTACCCCTTGGGTGCTGGGGTAGGATAGCCTCCTCTGTAGACCACGAGGCCCTGGTGCCCTGTATCAAATGCCCACCAGCTGACTGCAGTTTTCCATTTCCACTAGGATGTTCTGCTGCTCCGTCAGTTCATCCGGCCTCGTGGAGGCATGCTGCCTCGAAGGATCACAGGCCTATGCCAGGAAGAGCACCGCAAGATTGAGGAGTGTGTGAAAATGGCGCACCGAGCAGGTAGCGGGTCCTCTCAGGGCAAAGAGGCCAGAGAGCTATCAGTGCAATGTCCCCATGCCACCCCTTGCCAGCCGTCCCCTGTCCAGCTCCAGGAAGAGGTGCGGACATCTGGAGTCTCCACTAGACTCTCCCCCCAGTGCCAGCCTCCCACCCCAGGAGCTGCAGGGGGAACTGCAAGACCATCCCATATGTGCTCTTGTCTCCCCTCAGGACTCTTCCCAAATCACAGGCCTCAGCTTCCTGAAGGATTTGTTCCGAAGAGCAAACCCCAACTCAATCGGTAAGTGAACCTGGGGGTCAACACCTGGAGCATTCTGCAGCCCCTCCACTCTCACATATTCTGCCAGGGAAGCCATTTACCAGAGCTCGGCCCACAGCTCAGGAAAGCTAGAGTGCTCCCTTGGCTTTGTGTTCCATCCCTCCCAGCCTGAGCACCAAGCCCCATTAGCCCCACCACTGCTCCAGTTGATCCTGTGCATGCTTCTGTGAGCCTCCCCTGCTGGCCTCAGCATCTCTCCTCTTCCCTTCCCAGCCCTGCACTTAGCATAGGGGCAACAGGGTAAGAAGATCTGCTGCTTGGGCATTAGAATGTGCTAATCCCCTGTTTATGACATCATACTGGGTTGCTATGGGAATGTCAGAGCACTTTAACAAACTTTTCAGTATCCCAGCACTGGGGTTATTAAAGGGCAAAGCGAGACCTTAGAAATGGGAGGGCTCTCTGGGGTAGGGCCACCGTATATAGCTGTGCACTTCGTACACTGCACAGCTTCAGCCTCCCTGGCACTCCCTAGAGTCGCACAGTTAACCTGCATAGCTGCACGTGGCGGCCTGGGAGGTCCTGAGCTTTTGTAGAGGAAAGGACCGCCCCTAGACCCTGGAATCAATCAGCCTGCCTTTCAGCTGAAGCAGGGCGGCCCCCTCTGGTGTAGGAGCAGATTCCTGTCTCTCAAACAGCCATCCTGTCCTGAGCTCCTTTCCCACCCCCATCTCCTACATTACAACACTCACAGCCTCCTAGATCTGTAATCCCCTGGTTGAGAGTAGATCCAGATCTATAAAGTTGATTTTGGTCTTTCTTCTTCTTTGCCCCCATCAGCAGCCCCTCCCCTCTTCAGTCTCCTACTGTAACTGCTCTCTGTAGGGGACCAGAGACGGTTGAAGCAAAGCAGGACACCGCATCCACAGCAAGTCTCCAAGCCTGTCCCAGAAAAAATGCAGGCTCGGAGGGTGGGAGGCCAGGCAAACCCAGCTCCGGATTGCTGGACTGGGGGTACAGGGCCAGAGCTGGGTCTTCACTGACACCTCGCCAGCACCCTGGCCTCGTGCCCATCTCCACCTGTACCTCCCACATTGCTAGCTGGGCCATCTGCCAGCAGCCCCAAGGGAGCAGGGCATATTAACCTCTTCTTGTCTTTCCCGCTTTTGCTCTGGACCATTTGGAAGTTGAGCCCACCCTCCTGTCTGACTTGTAAAGAGACAGCAGCAGGCCTAAGGACACACTCTATCCTGCCCTCGGGCCTTTGAAGCAAGGCCAGGCTCCCTCCCATATATCCGGTGTCCTTTAACGTGACACAGGATTGATGATGTGTGGGGGTTCTTGGGTTGCAAAAGGCCGCTCTAGGGGGGAGGGGGAGTCCTGGCTATGAAGGAGTTTGATTCCCTTGCAACAAGGGACTTTATGATTCCATCCAGAGGTCCTTGAGCTGCCATGCACTGGCCCAGGTACTGCTGGAGAGCCACACATCCTCTTTTCCCTGAGCCTTCAGGAGAGGTAGGAAGGAGCCTTGGTTCTTCCTAGAGGTGAAGTGTGTTCCCCAGAGAGCTAACTGGAGGTCACCCAGGCACCTCCCCCACTGCCTGCCAGCTCTCTGTTCCATGTGGCAAAGCATCAGGTCCAGGGCTAGCTGAAGCCTGCTTCCCTTCCCTCTGTGGTCTCTCCAGGGCAGGAGGGAATGGCTTGAGGGCAGCAGTTCTGGAAAACCTGGTCAGCTTCAGGATCTTCTGAGGTCCTTGGTCCGAGTGAGCATTCCTTTTAGGGAGCCTGCTCCCACACTCCATCTCTTCACCCACCCCCTCTGAAATCAGGGAGATGGTCAACTCAGGGACCTGCAGGTGTTCCCCTTCCTTCAGCTTTACTCTTCTGTTGCCCCAGCACCGCCCACCGTGGGTCCCACCCACTGCACAGAGGCCTCCCTGTGGGGAGCCTTGACCCTGACAATATATGTGGTGTGTGGGCCAGTGCTTCCCACACTTTTTTTTACCTCCTCTCAGAGCTGTTGCCTTTGCACGGAGCTAGGAGCAGAGAACCAAAGTCCAGGGGAGGGGAGCTCAGTTGAAATGTAGAAATCAGTCTTTTGTTTTGTTTTTCTCAGTTTTATCTAAAAATTCTCAACCAAGGTGATGAATTTTTTAAGTGAAAAAGTTTCTCATCTGAGGTCTCTAGCAGCAGCTGGGTTGAGCCCCAGCCTAGAATAGAGGCAGGGGAGGAGCCTCGCTTTGCCATGGCTGAGCTTTCAGGATGAAGGGTGGGCCTCTCTGGACAGGATCCGAGTTTCATTCTGGACGGAGTAAACCCCAGTCCCAGCCGGCATGAGCCACTTTTCCGGGAACTGTCAGGGCCCCGGCCATCCCCAAAGGAGGCCAAAGGACTGTGGGCGGCAGCCATCTTTCCCCACCCCCTCCTACTTACAAGGAACCTTTCCAAGCTGGGTCTGTACCACGGGCCCTCACCCTTGGCTCCCCTTATGGGTTGGGTGAGGGGCAGGGGTCCTGCACCAGTTAGGGCCACCCCCGGGAGCTCCTTGGCAGAGTGAGCCAAGTGGGGAAGGAGGGAAGGATCTCTCCAGGCCTTATATCAGCTCTCCTCTCCCCATGACTGAGGCCAGAGAGGAATAATCTGCTTTCTGGGCAGCCTCTTTCTCCACCTCCTCCCCCAGCAAGTATACACACAAACATTGACAACTCATAAAGATCAAGGGAGCGCGTGGCCCTGGGCTGCCTGACCCTGGCCACACACGCTTGCGGCAATGAGGGCCCGGCCCATCTGTTTACGGCACACTCAGCCGTCACTCCCAGGAAAAGCCCCTGCTCCTCAAGGAGGGAAACTGCTGAAAGGCTTTGGCTCAAGGAGATGTGGAAACCCCCCGCCCCCCCATCCCAGCTCCAGCATGGGCCCCAGTCCTCCTAGCCACCTCCTCCCCTCCCTCCACAGGTACCTGACCCGCTGGTCTCCCCGTTCGGTCAAGCCCATCTATAATAAAGGCCACCGCTGGAACAAAGTACGCATGGCTGTGGGGTCGCCCCTCCTGAAAGACAACATCTCCTACTCAAGAAGGCCTCTGATACTGTATCACTGACTGGGGGCAGGGCTCCCCATCCCACCAGGGTATCCCAGCTCCTCCGGAAGGCACAGCAGACAGTGGGCTGACCCTCAGTGGCCTTGGGACTGCCTTGGGCCATGCTCAGTGCTGAGGGATAGGAGTTGTCTGCAAAGGAATTTTCAAGCTCATGGACTCTACTGCTGGTGTGTGTTCACTGCCTGTGAAGTACAGGGGGCTTCAGCCCATTTCTAGCCAGTTCTTGAGCATTGAGTCACTAATCTTTTGTAATAGGCCATATGACTGCCACCAGAAGTTTCTGGGCCAAATGGGTTCCTGTTGTTGATAGCCTTAAGCTCTTCAGCTTGGGGGCTGTGAGGAGGTGAGTTGGGCTGCCCTCCTCAAAGGACTCCTGGCTGTTCCCTCCTCCCCCAGCCATTTCCACCCACCACCATCTCAGTGGCACATCCCAGCCCTCCACCAGTTGCTCTAGAGCTGGGTCTTGGCACAGTGGCCTGTCCTCAGAGCCTGGACACCAGATGGAGGCAGAGGTGTGGAGAAGCCGCAGGACAGAACAAACAGAGCAAATTCACAGCTGTTTATGAAAGTAATGCTGAGGCCATACATGGCCTCCGCCACTGGCCCCGCCCCCCTACAGCATGAAGGGGAGGTCTATGTTCTTCTCACCAGTGCCCATGTAGATGTAGCCATAGTTCTTGGTGCGGGGAGCATGGAAGAAGGTGAGGCCCGGCCAGAGCAGGCTGCGCAGCACCACCAGGGCATTGCCCCTCTCCATCTGGATGCTCCAGGACCCTGGGGAAGGTGGGAGGAGGGGAGGCCTGAGTGCTGTGGAGCCTGAGCTCTGCCCTGTGCCCAGAGGCCCCCCAGCCCCTTGGGCAGCCTGGCTCGGGTGCTGCGGTTCCCGTGGGGAAGGGAAGACAATTTAATTATCCGGCGCCTTACTCCTCCTGATTGCCTTTTAGCCATTTCACTGCTCATTAAAACCACTTCCAGGGGGAGGGCAAAGGAAATGAAAAGAGGTGAAGCACACCCCAGTCCATTTTGTTCCTGTCAGCAAGTCTAGTTAAAGGTTGAGTGGGGGAGGAAGCAGAGTCCACAGGCGGGGGAGATGGGGCCCAGCTAGGGGAGGCTTTCTCCAGGCTTCTGCACCCTCTATGAGGAGTAGTCCGTCACCAGTGGCCTGCAGTCATGATGCAGTTTGCCCGTCTTGCCACTTTGCTCTCTCTTCCCAAGTCCCAGGAACCTCTGCTCCGAGATGGTTGAGACCTGAGCAGGGGTGCACTGAAGTTGGGCCTTTTGGGGCCTCCCAGCTCAATAGCTCGTCCTGGCAGCCGTGGACTAGGAGCCATGCTAGGTGGGAGGGGACTTGGGCTGCAGCTAATGAGCCCTTGTGTATGCTGGGTTCTGCCCCGGATTTTTGCTCCCCAGACAGGAGCAGCCCAGCCCGGAGCTGAGTTGTGCGGCCATGAGGACTTGGCGGGAAGGGCCTGATCCAGCTCCAGAACCAAGGGAGGGAGCCCCTGTGTGGGAGGAAGGAGCCTGGGAAAATCGCCTCTGGATGCAGATCTAGAGCTTCTATTCCCCTGCGCACTGAGGCCTCTCCCCGGCCCAGCCGCAGCTCTGCTCCAGGCCCTGCCAGAAAGGCAAATGCTTTGAAGGTTTTGGTGTTGGACCAGCCAGTGATGCACTGGGAGCTGCGCTGAGGCCCTTCATCGGCTGCCAGCTCAGCCCGGCTGCTTGGCTCCACCGTCCCAGCTTCCCACAGTCGTCCTCCAGCCGTGGCCCACCCCGGTCACTCCACACCCAGCAGCCTCACAGCTCAGTCCCCACCCACCAGGGGCCACCCCACATCCGAGAGACCTGACTGCCAGAAGCCCCTAGACCTGATGGCAGCTCAGGCTGCTGACACCTGCCCGGGTCAAAGCCAGAGCTTTCCAGGTGCCTGTAGGTCAGTGGCGCTGGCCTGCTCAGAACAACCAGCCGCAAGCCCACCTCTGCACTGTGCAGTGGCACCCTTCCAAGCATCCCCACCTGTTCAGGTGAAGGGGAGGCCACAGTGTCCTGCACTCCAGCCCCCGTCTGCCCCCCAGGCCTACACAGCGCAGCATCGGGAAAGAAGAGAGCCCCTGGGTTACCAGAGCTCTGGCTGGGACATGGCCTGGGAAGAGGGGTCCCTGTTGCCAGAGAAGGGGGTAGTAGTTCCCCTAGCTCCTACAGCTTTCCTCCCCAGGTACCTGAGGCCCTCCACCTCCCAGGGGCCCTAGCCTGCTGCTTTCCCGGTCACTCATTGCCGACAACCTTGCCTGGGGGTCATGGGAGAGAGGTGTGACAGAACAGAGTGTCCCTGCTGCACTGCAGTCGCTTTCGGCCAGAAGCACAGACCCCAGGAAGGTACATTCCTAACCTTCCCCCACCCCCCACCCCCGTCACCCCTCCAGTGCCCAGAGCACATCATCTAAGGACGGTCCCTGCCCTTGGAGCCCAGTCGCACAGCTCTCGTGACCTGAAAGGCCAGGCTCTGCCTCCCTTCTCTGTGCCCCGCCAGGAGGGCAGCTTGCAGCCTGCCTGGACCAAATGCCACCAAATGCCCTGAAAGAATGAAGTCCTGGAGGCCTCCAGCCTCGACAGCTCTCATCAGTTCACGGTTGCCAACAGCTTGGCACACCCTGGCGAGGGCCGGCTCCTGACCTCCCCTTGCACAATCCTGCCCACCTACTACCTCCTGCCCCAGTAGAGGAAGGGGCCCTGGCTCATCAGCAGGGCATCCCAGCTCCCTCCCAGAGCCAGGGAGAAGTCGGCAGGGATGCTAGAGAGATGCAGTGCCCCCATCAGGGCAAGGGGGCAGCACCAAGCAGGCTGAAGGGTGCTGGCAGAGAGAAAGCGGCATATGAGGGGCCTGCCAGCCAACTGCACGTCCTCCCTCCCTCCCTCCCTTGCATTCCTGTCACACTCCTGTCCTCTTCTCCTTGTCCCTGGCTCAGCTGGTCGCCCAGGAAACACACAGACTCTCAACGTGCCAGGAGTCACGTAGCATCTACCTGGAGAGCCAGGCGCTTGCTGTCACCTTCACCCACGTTTATTGCAACTGCTGGGAAGGCTGGGCTCAGCCACTGCCACCTCCTCCTCTCAGAGCTCCAGGGGAGCCCCCTCCCGTGGCCCTGGTCTCTCCCAAGTCTCCCAAAACGCCCCTCCTGCCCCCTGACAGCCACTCTGACAAGCTGTTTTTTGAGGTTGTGGTAGAGAGCAAGTAGGTACATCAGGAATGGAGCCTGTTGGCAGAAGTCCTCCTGTGTGTGCGTGGGCCCCAGGGGTGTCCCCTTGCTAGTGGGAGCCTCAGGCTAGGGTATGCATGCAAATCGTAATTACCTTCTCCTGCCCTCCCGGAAGAAAGGCAGCAAAGCTCTGAGATTACGGTTGAGGGAGAGAATGGGCCAGACTGTGGATCCAGGCTCTCCAGCCACTGCAGGTGGTTTTAAACTTTCTCCTCAGACCAGCCCCACACAGCCTGTCACACGTGCAGAAGTAGCCATGGGTCGCTTCTCAGAGCAGTCACTCCTCTGACACCAGGGCCACAAGTTATGGTCAAATCCCCTGGCCGCGGTGGGCAGGGAAGCAGAACGCCTTACCTGATGGGGGAGGCCCGGCTTCCTGGTCCTGGAGGCCAAGCACCAGTCAGCCAGGCTTGAGGGGCTGGGGGGAGGAGCCACCTGCACACACACCCCGAGAAAGCTGAGAAAGCTGATCTGCCCCGTGTTCCTCACCTGCCTCCCTGTTCCTGACTCCCCCACCCCCTCTTCCTTGCCACCACCACTACATTTTATTATTTTTTTCTTTCTTTCTTTTTTTTTTTTTCCCCTTAGAGAGAGAGAGGCAGGCTCCATGCACCGGGAGCCTGACGTGGGACCCGATCCCGGGTCTCCAGGATCACGCCCTGGGCCAAAGGCAGGCGCTAAACCGCTGCGCCACCCAGGGATCCCCCACCACTACATTTTAAATGTGGCTTTCCCGGCAGGCAGGCCCCTTGCTGCCCTCTGCTGCCTGCACTGGGCACTGGTGCCTGGCTCACGCGCGCTGGAGGCCCAGCTGCCCGCCTGGCCCGCGTCTCCTGAGATCTGTGGGCTCCAACCCCCGAGTGGAGTAAGGAGAGGAGCTCTGTCCTCCGCGCCGCACCCCGCTCTGCTTCCCAGGGCACGTGACCTTGTTCATGAGGCACCTCTCGTTTTATATTTCCACTTCCCATCCTGGTTCATTTGATCTTCCCAAACCTCTGTGAGTTTGGGACAGCAGTGTCCTGCTGGCGAGGGCACCCCGCTGCCTGGCACGCAGCACCTGCCCAGTGGACATCTGCTGATGGCATGAACAGTTGGGGAGCACTGAATGGCAGAGTGCTACCCAGAAGTCTGGCCCGACCCACTGCTCCATCTCTCTCACCTGACTGCAGCCCGGGCTCAGAGAACTGGCGGTTGCCCTCCGTCCACCAGGACAGTTCTGTCCCCAGAGCTACTCACTCGCACAAACCTCCGCAGATGCCGGGGCAAGGCAGGACAGCCCAGGAGGGCAGTGGCGGCACCGGGCGCCATACCTCCCATGCTCCCTGCAGCCAAGACTGGCCTGCCTCCACAGGCCCAGGAGCCCTCCAGCCTCAACGGTACCCACTAACGGGCGGCGTGGAGTCCACCATAGCCCCAGAAAGGAAACGATGATCCTACCTGGGCAGAAAATGACTGTCAAATTCCAGTCCTCCCAGCCAGTGCTGGTGTCCCGGGGAACTCTTCCCTGGGATTCTGGCCTCACTTTGCAGCCAGGCAGACGGCACCCCCACAGCAGCATCTCCTTCACTGGCAGGTGAGGAAGGGGGGCCACGAGCTGAATCTGATGTCTGCTTTTCCCCTTACCACCCCCACCACCATGGCCCCAAGCAAGTCATCATGAGGAAGGGCTGGGCCTGATGCCCAGAGGTTTTCTGACGGTGGCTCTGGGAGGCAGCGAGCTGGAGGCCCGTAAACTGTGAGGTGCAGCCAGGAGCCCTCAGCCACCACGGCTCCAGCACCAAGGACAAAGCCACATGCCAGGGCACGCTGAACCATCAGTTGGTCCTTCAGCCCTGAGACCCACTGCTTAGGGGCGGATGTCCAGGGCCTCAGGCCACTGCAACTCACCTACCTCCCAGGCCCAGGTTCTTACCAGTGAATTCTGTGAATTCAGTGCTGACTAGACACATCAGCGTGACCCCAACATCCCTTAGGAAGACCCCCCAAAGTTCCCTATCTTACAACCCCAGCCGCAGGGAGACACAGCTACATTCTTTGTCCCCTCTATCCAAAATGAAAAGGGCAGACAGGGTGGATGAGGTTCCCTTAGGTAGACCCACATCCCATCTAGTTGGCTTTGGTCTTTGCTGCAAAGGCAAGAGCACCCTCCTCTCTGCTCCCACCACTCAGAGGAGGAAGCTCCAAGGGGGAGGAGGCACTTGTGTGTCAGGCACCTGACCAGCCGGCACTGTGGACCACCCATATCCCTGGGCCTGGAGCATCCAGCTGCAGGTGAGAGAAGTCAGCCGGCAGCAGGGCTCTCCAGCCACACCCAGATTGAGGGGGCGGGCAGGGCTACTGTCCCCAGATTAGAGGCATTAAGAGGACTTTTCTCAGCCCACCCCCCAGACCTTGGTGCTGAGTCCCACCACCACAGTGTGCCTGGCTTCCTGTATCAACCCAGGACATGCAGAGCCTTCTGGCTTCCGGCCAGGCTGGGAGCACAGAGTTGGGGGAGATAATGGGAGTCTGGAAAGCATGTCTCACAGGAGAGAGGTGCCCCAGCCCCTACCAACCTTCTTTATCTCCCCCACAGTTCAAGGACCCCCTCTCTATGCTCAGGGAGGTTTGACTAGGGTACCCCCATGTGGCAGAGGCCAGAGTGGCCATTCCTTGGTGGCTGCCCCTACCCACTTGGGACCATCGCCGGCCCTGGGGCATCGCAGAAGCCATGAAATGGCCTTCAGATCCCCACTTGGCCCTATTCCATCCATCTGTGCACCACCGCCGTATTGTCACAGACCTGCTCACGAGCCGCCGACAGCTCCCACCGCCTTGCTCTAGGCCTCCTACCCCTTGGCCTCCTCAGTCCTCCTAGGCCTGCCCCAACTCCCCTCTGTGGCCTTTCTGCCACTAAAAATAACACTAATAATAATTACTAATTTTCGTTTGAGTCCTATGTGTTAGGCACTACTATAAGCATCTGGTATGTGCATTGACTCATTCAGTTCTCGTAACAACCCAATGAGGTAGAAAATACCATTATTCCCTTTTAGGAATGAGGTAATGGGGGGCCTGCCCCAGGGCCACACAGCTAGTAAGTGGCAGATTCGGGGTCCCAGCTGAGGCCATCTGATGCCAGAGCCGCTGCCTCTGCCATTGCCTGCCCCCGCCCCAGCTGGGAGTATGCCGGGCTCCCCAGAAGTGGTACCCCACACAGTGGGGGCGAATACTGTCCCACCATTGCCACTGTCTACTGAAAAGGAAACACAAATTCATTTGACACCACAGTTCACTCCAGAGCCCTGGAGTCTAAGGGTCACCGTGTCCTTGGGTTTAACTCTCCAAGCCTGTTTCCTCACGTGTAAAATGGGGATGGTAACAGTAGCCGCCCTGTAGGGTGGCTGTGAAGATGAAAATGAGAGAAGGTGTGGTGGGGGCTGAGCACAGCGCCCTAAGCACTAGCAGGGCCATTGCTCTCAGGAGTTGCCATTCCTGTCATTACCCTTATTGTTATCACTGCTGTCACTGACAGCAGGTCTCTGCAGGTGAAAAGGTCTCAGAAACCCCAAACATGGGGAGGGAAAGAGGCAGGATCCCTGCGTCGGCACCCTGGGCCTGGCCCCTGATTGCCCAGAGCTTGGCACCTGTCCTGGCACACAGCATCCAAGTAAGAGTGTCCTCCCGGGACACGCTCTTCCCTACTGGACAGCCAGGATGGGGAGGATGTGGGAGCTCTGTGACCCCACCCCCAACTGCTGGGTGTGTGCCAGGGCCGGCTGGACCCTCAAGAACGGGAAGACCTCTGAGGCTGTATGTTTTAAGATTTAAAAAGCTCCATGCATATAGCAGGAAGCAAATGTACAGAACTCATTTCCTTGGCAGGTGGTCTGCCCTTCCGTCGCTCAGCACACACTTAACTGCACACCAGCTATGTGCCAAGCACTGGATCTCACCCCAAAACTAACAGTCGGGATGGACGCGTGGCTAGGACTTCAGAGAGGTTTTTGGAGATGTTTGGGGGAGGACTAAAACTTGCCTCCTTCAAGATTGATTTGGAAATCAGAAGAGGCACTGGGAGACTTGCTGTCTGTGGAAGCACATGGAACACGGTGCTTCCTTTTGTCTGCAGACATGTACCGACTGTTTATTATAAGCTGAGCCCTGTACCAGGCTCTTGGGGGAAGCCCCCACCCACCAGGACCCCCCATGAACCACCAGTTCCCACTCGGGTCGTTGGTTCCAATCTCAGAGGAGAATGGCAGGCGGCATGGCCCACTGCTCTGACCTGGGGGCAGATCCAATGTCCTCCAAGTAATAGGCTATTACCTTTGGGGATGTCATGCTCCAAGGAGTCCATGAAGTCCAGGGAGGGGTCCAGGTCAGCCTTCTCAAGTAAGGTCTTGTTCTTCAGCTCAACAGGCTCCCTAAAGTGGAAGTAGGAACTAAGCTTCTTGGCTTCAGACAAGGACAGTCCTAAAAAGAGGCAGTGGGTAGGAAGGGATGGTCAGCCCCAAACCCCACAGCCCCCCTTTCTCCACGCATGGGGACCACATGGAGGGGAAAGGACTCAGGCAGATACTGACAGGGAACTAAAGGGAGAAGGAGTCAGGCTTGGTCCAGACCCCACAATAAGGAGACACCAATGAAGAAGGTGAGGAAGGCAGGGCGCCCAGACCCACGCAAAGCCCAGGGACCCAGATGGCCAAATGCTCTCCTACCCTTAGGCAGAAAGGAGTCAGGGTCCAGTGACTGGGCAGCCATGCCAACCACCAATGCCAGGCCATTGAGCACATCCTCCCAAGCTCCCATACAGCTGTATGGCCACAGCTGTTCTTTCTCTGAGGAAGTGGACAGGTTCTCCAGGACTCCCAGAAATGTGTCCCCTGTGCTTGGGAAAAGACGCCCTCCAGCCCTTGACAGGGGCCCCGGAGAACTTACCTTCAAAGGTCCGATTGACATGGATGGGTCCAAAAGGGGTCTTAAAAAGGGCTCCTCGAGGGATGACAGCCACAGCCTTGTCAATCTGGTCGATGACAGACACCAAACGGTTTTCTTCCTTGATCTGGACCTGAGGAGACAGGAGACAAGCCAACCTGCCAGAGTGCTGTGCCCACTCATTTCTGGTGCAAGGGACCAAGGGACCATCTGACCTGGGTCACCACAGTGTAGATGCTAGGTCCATGGAGAATCATGCTGGGCAAGCCCTTGCCTTCCCTCCTCTCAAGATTTCCTCCCTTCCTGCCTCCCCCCTTTCCCTCCTTCATTCTTCTGAATATCTCTTTTAAATTGGTAATACATACTGGTGGTGCAAATTTTTTTTTTTTTGGTGCAAATTTTTTTAAAGATTTTATTTATTTATTCATGAGACACACACACAGAGAGAGAGAGAGAGAGAGAGAGAGAGAGAGGCAGAGACACAGGCAGAGGGAGAAGCAGGCTCCATGCAAGGAGCCCAACATGGGACTCAATCCGGGGTCTCCAGGATCACACCCTGGGCTCCGGGCGGCACTAAACCGCTGCACCACCAGGGCTGCCCTGGTGGTGCAATATTTTAAGGCAGTGTCTCCCACTCCATCCCTGACCCTCCAACTGCCCTCACTGGAGACAACCACTGTTCATGGTTTCTTATATACTCTTCCAGAAACAATACCATCCCATCATTATATGTAAATGTTGCTTATTTTGCTATTTTAAAATATAAAAACAACCATGATCACTGTAGAACACTTAGGTAATATAGAAATAGTTTATAATATATGCAAAAAAATTAAAATCATTCATAATCCCACCTCCTAAAGATAATCACTAACAACATATTGGCATACTTCCTTCTCTTCTCTCTTTCTATGTATATATTTAAAACAAAATTAGGGACGCCTGGGTGGCTCAGTGGTTGAGCATCTGCCTTTGGCTTAGGGTGTGATCCCAGGGTCCTGGGATTGAGTCCCACATCAGGCTCCCTGCAGGGAGCCTGCTTCTCCCTCTGCCTGTGTCTCTGCCTCTCTCTCTGTCTCTCATGAATAAATTTTTAAAATCTAAAAAAAAAAAAAAAAGACACAAGAGCCTGCCTGTGCATATCCCATTACCCCAGAACACAATGCAGACCCACCCTCCCAGCCCCCTGCCCAGAGCCAGGCTCCTGACAGAGTGGCCCAGCCTGCCACCCAGGAGCTATGTGGGGTTCTGCTGTTGCCACCATAATTTCTATTGGGCTGGGCTCTCTTTGTTCTCCTCCTCTTGTCTTCACTCACCACTACTTCTTCTTCAAAGACCTTTTCACCCTCCTTCATCTTCTGCAGCTCAGTGTGTTCGTACTCATGCGAGGGGTCCCCCATGAAGCGGCCCTTCACCACAGACGTCTCCACTGCCATCTCTTCCGTGGCGGGGGGCAAGAGGCTCCACTCCATACAGTTCAGGCTGCCAACAACATCCTCATGATCCTGGTTTCCAGGCTTCCTGCCACCGCCCCTTCTCTTGAGGGATGAGGCCCAAGAAAAACTGTTGGGAGTCACACCTCTCCCCTCCAAGCCATGCGTGCCTATGCTGTACCCCACCCCCATGTGTGAGGCAAATAAATATTTATTTTGTAAAAGGTCACAAAAGCTTCATGTGTACCAAAGTTCCAAGAACTTCTTCCTAGATACCTGCACTGTGAAATTTCTGATGGGTTTCTAGAAGCTGAACATTCCTGTTACAGGCACCTCTGTTTTGGTAGGCCCTACATTCATGCTCAGCCGGCCTCCTGAGCCAAGAGCATGGCCATCTTTCCCCCATTTCTCAAGAAAGCGGCTGCAGGCCCCAAGACCCGACCTCTGAGGTCTCCAGCACTGGCCAGCCCCGTCCCTTCTTCCCCACTCCTGCCAGGAGAGGGCGTCCTCCGGCTCCTCTCTAACCCACAGGCCCTGGACGGAGGCAAGGGGGCCCTGCTCATCTTTCTGCCCTTCTCACTCCACTGGCTCCTTTCTCAACTTCAAAACTTCTTGGCAGCCCGGGTGGCTCAGCAGTTTAGTGCCACCCTCAGCCCAGGGCGTGATCCTGGAGACCTGGGATCGAGTCCCACGTCAGCCTGCTTCTCTCTGCCTGTGTCTCTCATGAATAAATAAGTAAAATCTTTAAAAAACAAAAAAACTTCTTGGCTTTCTACACCAACAGCCCTCAAATCCTACCCTGCCAGAAAATAGCCTTTTCCTGTCCCTTACTCCTCCTCCAGCTCTGAACAATAATCTCAGAATGGCCTGCCCCGTGGAAGCCTTTCCCCTGTGGTCGTTTCTGTCCCCGGCACCCCACAGAACTGCTTAGGAGGACATCCACGGAACCTCAAAGCCAACAAGTGCATTCCACTTCTGTTTCCTTTGCCATCTCCCCTCTCCCTCCTCTGCCGCCCGAAGTATTCCCAGAGACCCATCCTCACCCCTCTGGTTTCCCTGCAGGCTGGCCCACCTCTCAGAGCCCCAGCTACTATCTAGTTGGTCTCCAGAACCCAACCACCTCTCACCACTTCCACTGCTCCTCGCTGGCCTCAGCCCCTATCTACTCTTACTTCTATACCATTAAGGTAACCTCCTAACTGGTCTGCCCAGGTCTGTACCTGCTCCCCTTTGTCTAGTTCCCACCCAGCTGTCATATCATGTTTCTGTGTAGAAGCTTTCTTCCCATTAAGCTATGTCCTTGCAATGCCCCACAAAGCCCTCTGGTCCCTTATGTCTCTGACCTCATGTCCTACAATGTTCCCCCTCATATACTCCTCTCCAGCCACACTAGCCTCTGTGAGGTTCCACCAACACTGAGTACACATCTGCCTTGGGGCCTTTGCACTTGCCTGGAATTCTCATCCCTCAAATAAACACATAGCTCGCTCTCAGTTGCTTCAGTTCTCTTCATAAATGTTACCTTATCAGAGAGACTATCTCTGATCCCCCTATTTAAAGTAGTACCAGGGCACCTAGGTGGCTCAGCAGTTTAGCGCTGCCTTCAGCTCAGGGCTTGATCTTGGAGACCTGGGATCAAGTCCCACGTTGGGCTCCCTGCATGGAACCTGCTTCTCCCCCTGCCTGTGTCTCTGCCTCTCTCTCTCTCTGTCTCTCATGGATAAATAAAATTTTTAAAATAAATAAATAAAATAGTACTGGGGCACCTGGGTGGCTCAGCGGTTGAGCATCTGCCTTCAGCTCAGGGTATGATCCTGGCGTCCAGGGATCAAGTCCTGCATCTGAATCCCTGCAGGGAGCCTGCTTCTCCCTCTGCCTATGTCTCTGCCTCTTTCTGTGTCTTTCATTAATAAATAAAATCGTAAAAAAAAAAAAAGCAGTACTGCATCCTGTATTCTCTAGATATGCAATGTGCGTTTATTGTCTCCCCCACCCCACCCCCAACACACACACACACACACACACACACTATATATATATATATATATATATATATATATAATTTAGACTCCATGAAGACAAGGACTTTGTCTCATTTTCTACTGAATTCCTGGTGCCTGGATCAACGCCTGGCACATAGTAGACGCTGGAAGAAATAAAAACTTACGGAATAAAATGAGGCCCAAATTTCCATCCTCAGTCCAGAATTTTTGTCCGGACTCCAGGCTGCCCCCCAGGCACCTCTTACCAAGTTCAATGGGGCTTTCCTAGTCCTGCTTCTGGAATTCCATTCCAGGGGGTGACACCAGCCTTTACCCAACTGCCTTAGCTGAAAGGAGGGGTCAACCTTGATCTTTTCTTCACCTCTCCCATTCAGGCCCAAGTCTGGCCAGTGCCACTGCTTACATCTTTCCAACCCATTCTCTGACCTCTGTTCCTCAGCTCCTTCTTCCTTGCAGTCTCCTTCACCCAGACCCTGCAACAGCTTCCTGAATGCTCACCCACTTCAGGGCCCAGCTGCCCACTCAGATCTGAGCAGACTCTGCTTGTTTGAGGCTCCTCAATGACTCTCTGGCTCTCCATAGCCTCTGAACAAAGTCCAGTCCCCTGGCCTCTCCATCCAGTGTCAGGTTTACCTACATGCTGTTCTCCCAAACACTCCAGCCACCTCTGCAGAACCATTCCCTCCAGCTGGCGTGCCTTTCCCCCACACTTTCCTAGGGAATCCCTGATCATCTTTCAGATCTCCACGAGTTACTCCCTTAGCAATCTTATTTAATTGCTCTCTAGAAGGCCCCACCTTGGTCCCCCTTTGCATACCCCTCTGCTCTGGGGTTAACACGGTTGGTTGTAGTTGCTGGGTTATGTGTCAGTGTTCCTTCCTAGGATGTGAATGACTTGGAGACGGGTGAGTCTTAGCCATCTCTGTAAGCCCAAGTCTACACAGAAGGCCACCAATCAATGTTGGGCTGATGCGTGGACAGATGAAGTCTCCGAATCCCCGCGGCCTGAATGGCTTGCTTTGTAAATTGGTGAGCTTCCTGACGTCGCTGGGGGCACTCAAGAAGGAGGTGTGGGGGGGGATCCCTGGGTGGCGCAGCGGTTTGGCGCCTGCCTTTGGCCCAGGGCGCGATCCTGGAGACCAGGGATCGAGTCCCACATCGGGCTCCCGGTGCATGGAGCCTGCTTCTCCCTCTGCCTGTGTCTCTGCCTCTCTCTCTCTGTGACTATCATAAATAAAAAAATTAAAAAAAAAAAAAGAATCGTCAAATAGCACCTCATTACCCTCCAAGGCTCCTGACCCTTCTGGAAACTGCGGTCTTCGGAATGTCAGGCGTCCACCTGGCGGCTACAGGTCCCCGTTCTCCGGGAACTCTCGCCTTGCTCCGCCTCCGTTCGTGGCCCTGCCTGTATTATAAACCCACCCGCGTCCAAATGTCTCTCCTCCTCGCCACCCGCCCCCCACCCCTGCTCTGCACTTTCTCAGGACCTGGCCCCCTAATCCTCCGCAGCAAGTTTCGGCCCCGGCCCGCCCCCCGGCCCTCGGTCTGTCGGGTCTCCCCAGACTTCACCACCCGCGGCCGCGAGCCCGTAGGCCCCACCCCTTCCCGGCCGCCAGGTGGCACCCCCTTTAGGAGCGGGGGGGGGGGAGCGCCGCGGCCTGCTAGGACGTCGCCTCCACCTGTAGAGTGTCTTGCGTGGTGCGAGCTGGTCCTCACTCAGGCCCTGCGCGATGTAGTAATCGGCGACGAGGCCGAGGATGCGGCCCCAGAAAAGGACCCGGCTGTAGCGGTAGTCGCGCTTCACCAGCGTTAGGGAAGTGAGCAGCGAGGCCCGGCGGTCGGGGCTGAGGCCCTGGCCGCTGCCGGATGCCAGCTCCAGCGACAGCAGGAGGCTCTCGGAGTCCATCGCGCCCAGTCTCCGATCAACGCCCGCCAGGTTGCCGGGAGCAGCCGTCTCCTTGGAGACCGAAAGCTCCGCCCTCCGAGGATTCCACCCCCTCCGCCGCTGGGGCCCCGCCCTCTCGGGAACCTCAGGCACGCTCGCCCCCTGCACAGCCCTTCCTTTCCAAAAGCTTGAGCAAACGCTAGCTCCGGTATTCTTTCTTTCTTGAGTTGGGGACCACACGTGTTCTGCTGTCACGGTAACAGCGTGGTTTCCCCAAACAGGTGCGCTACTGTGTGATTTAAAGTCCCAGTTCCATGCGTATTTTTGCCTTTTCTGAGCTTTTCCAATAGTGGGATAATTGAGTCCTCACCGTGTATGCAATGAGGCCTTGGCAAGAAAGACAACACAAACAGTGACATTATTATTTCACTCCAGTCGTGTCCCTTCTTGGCCTCATAATTGTGTGAAAAGAATTTGAGATCTTCTTGGCTCAAAGTCTAGGAATCCAAGACAATTAGCACACCCCCACCCCAAGCCAGGTCCTATAGAGTGGGGTCATCGTTCCATTCTCCTCAGTCTTCACAAGACCTCTCTAGTCACCCCTTCCCATAGGACTATTCCACCCAAGTGACAAATAGAGACCAAGGCGCTGGGGCAAGGTACAGGCACACACTCTGGGAGAGCAGCATGTGAAGACAAGAAGGATGACACCACCTGCCACCTACATTTAGCTACCACAGGCCCCACAACCGCTGCTTTTAGGTTCAAATGGTACCAACACATAAAAGGCCAGAACTCTACTGCAGCTGGGGCTCTTCACTCTTTCGGTTAGAGACTACTTTATATCCACCTCTGGAGTCCCCAACCAAGGTCAAACAGGTGAAAAGATGCCTCAGTAAGCTTGTCAGGGAAGGAGAGATTTGTTGTTAATTTTTTTTAATCCATGAAAGACACAGAGCGAGAGCGAGAGAGAGAGAGAGAGAGAGGCAGACACACAGGCAGAGGAAGAAGCAGGCTCCATGCAGGGAGTCTGACGTGGGACTCGATCCCAGGTCTCCAGGATCACAACCTGGGCGGAAAGTGGCGCTAAACCACTAAGCCACCCGGGCTGCCCCATTGTTAATTTTTTTTTAAGATTTTATTTATTTGAGAGTGAGAGAAAGAGATGGCACAAGCAGGGAGGAGGAGCAGAGAGAGAGAGAGAAGCAGGCTCCCTGCTGAGCAGAGCGCCCGATTTTGGGGGGGGGGGGGCTGTTATTAATATTAACTGACCTTTTCATTTCTGGATTCCTTTGGAGAGGACTCATGCAATCAGAATGACGTGGTCCCCGGTGCCAAGCCAAGAGAGAAATAAGTGTCTAAATTACCCAGATAATTACTTTGTTTTGATTATCTGGGCATTGTTTATGACTTTTAAAACTTGAGGGAGCTGCCTTGGCCTAAGGTATCTTCCATCTCAAAACAACTGTAACTCCCTTGTCCAAAACTCTCCTTCCCCTTAGACCCCTCAGCCTGTCCATTCCCAAGTGGAAGATATGGCCCGGTTTCTCTTTCATAAGGTAATATCCTCAGACAGAGAATCAGCTGAAAATCTAACTGGTGGAATATGCTTCAAGTGGTCACAATGCCGAAAATAACCCAAACCTTTTGTTCTCACTGATTCCAGATTTACTGACCCCTAGTTAACAGCAAGTTCCTTGCTAGGAGCCACAGTCGAAAGCCAGAGAAGAGTCCTGCAGCTTTCCAATGCTACCACCTTTTGCGGAGTGAATCTGTTTCATTCCTTCAGAGGAAAACCACACAGGGCATACAGCACAGTGTACAGTACTCAGCCTCTGGAGCCAAGTGGATTGGATTAGAATCCAGGTTTCCCCACATAGGCAAGTTACTCTATTTCCCCAAGGCTCATCTATAAAATGGGAATATACACCATGGAAGGTTGTTACATGAGATAATGTATGTAAAGTGTCTAAAACATAGTATCAAATTTAAACCATGTTTTAGGTTTTCTCAACACTTTCTTTTTAAAATACAAAAAATAGGGCAGCCCTGGTGGCGCAGCGGTTTGGCGCCACCTGCGGCCCAGGGCGTGATCCTGGAGTTCCGGGATCGAGTCCCACGTTGGGCTACCTGCATGGAGCCTGCTTCTCCCTCTGCCTGTGTCTCTGCCTCTCTCTGTGTATCTCTCATGAATAAATGAATAAAATCTTTAAAAATAAATAAATAAAACAAAATACAAAAAATAGTATGTATATCGTCCCCATTTACACACACACACACATACAACCTACCTATCTCCAACACTAGCATGGTAAAGACTCTGTCTTCAACTTGTTTCCGAGAAATAAGCAGGTGTTCTCAGGGACAGAGGGCATCAATGCTTAGCAGTCAGGACCGCAACAGGCCGGAGAGAACAGCAAGGACAAGGATGGCCAAGTCAGAGGTGCAGCCAAGGAGGAACTGCCACAGGCAAGAGAGTAGGATGTGAAGGACAGTATTGCCAATAGGAACTGGTGACCACCAGACAACTGCTTTGAAGACAGGCTAGGTAGCATGCCTGGAGGGACAGCTGACCTCAGGAACTGATCCCATGGGCTTTGCAAAGACCCTCTCAGTTTTCTCAGTCCAGTCTCTGCCCCTAATCCCCTGTGTGACTTTGGGACACATACTTTAATTATCACGAAAACCCCTATGTGGCAAGGAAGGAGATCAGGCTAGGAAGTAAGTGATGAGAGGCTAGGAAGTAAGTGATGAGGACTGTAGTCCCAATTATGACATCAAAGTATTACAGAACTTCGGCCAAGTCCCTCAACTTCCCAGATGGGCCTAGGGCTGATGAAGAGAAAGAACCATCAGTTTAAAAAATAAATAAATAAAAAATTCTAGAAGCCCTGAAGCATAAGAGGTCAAGGAGAAAGACAAAAATACTCTAGTCTTAACCCTGGAAACCTTTAAGCCAAGAGTTTCAAGATAATTTAATACAAGTTCATTCATTTTTATATTTAAGTTCATTATGTCCTGGTAAAAATTCTGAAAGGCCACAGCAAAAAAGCTTAAGATGGCCACTTCCATAAAGAATGTCTGTCTTCGGGTCCATATTTGCTTTCCAATCTGAACAGAAATGCCTGTCCCAGCACCTTCTGGGAAAATCAACCTTTGATTCAAAGAGATGTTGTTCAATAATTATGATAGCCACAGCCATATAATCAGCTCACCACCCACCAGTAAGTCTAAGGAGGGAAGACAGGCAGCTAGAAAGACAGAGCATTCCTCTCACCAGGAAGCAAATGTAGCTCCACGCAAGAGATGGGTGACTTGGTGCCACTGGGGGAAAGATAATTTAAGCCACTGTGTTCACAATTAAGAAGCACCCCCATTCACTCATGGAAGCCTTTAAGTGTTACTGGTGCCTGGAACCAGACGTAATCCTCCCAGGCTGTGGTTGGGATAGAGGATCTGCCACAGGACAGGGTCACAGTCAGTTTGTGGCCCCGGTTGGGCACTCGGTAGTTGAGCTTAGGTCGAAACCAATCTTCTCCACAGTCACGGTGCCCCTGTGCCATGACAATGGTGCCCATGAGTGGAGGAGCCTGCAGCTCACTGAAGGCATCAGCCATGAAAATGGCTCGGAAGAGACGGCGCAAACAAGCTGCCGTGCTCAGGCTCTGGTCCATGCTGTTGGGGGCCAAGCGAGACAAATCAAGCTCATAGAACTCCTTGGGACTTAAGGCACTGCCGCCAAGGAGGATAAGCACGCGGGGTACTAATGTCCGTGCAAAGAGACCCTCTAGGTGGCTGAGGACACTCTCCAGTTCCGCCAGGGCTTGTTGGCATTTCCTGCTGCTCACCTCAGCAGCTGCCCGAGCTTTCTTCTTCATTGCATCCTCTGCCTGTGAGGACAAAGAATGGTGAGAGAGGGGAGGACAAGAAGGGGGAAGCTAATGCCCTTTGAAGAACCCTGTTGGGATGTGGTAGGCTTCTGGGACTGGGTTTCCATGGCCATGACACTGGGTTTTATCAGAGAGTAATATATCAAAAAGGAAAATGCATTCTTTATATAAAATCATACTTTTCCCATGCTCAGAACAGCAAAAACAGTGTCTGAAGCAGGAAAGCACCCAGAAATTAGCAACTAAAATAGTCAAGGAGATTTGGTGGCATGCCAGGTGGCAAATTTTGCGGTACCACGAGTGACAACAGGAGATGAGGATAATCTGGCTTAATAAAGGGGATTCTGGTGTCGGTCTTCCAGTTATCTGGAAAATTGAACACATGCTTATTTGTGGTCCCATCTGAAATACCACTAAATGAGAAAAAAAAAAAAAAGGGAGGAAGGAAGGGGAGAAGGAAAGGAAACTCCCAAGGTGAAAAAGAACTAGGAAACAAAGATAGACAAACACAAATTTTTGGGAAATAGAAGGCAGGTGGGAGAATTCAAGGGAGCTGAATACCAACTGCTAATAGAGGGAACCCCCCATGAAAGCACACCAATTTACACTGCAGACGTCCAGAAGGGCTCAGGAATTGGCAATTTAGATACCACAGAAGAATTAACAGAGAGGAACTGAGTGAAAACCTGTGTGAGGACCCTTAGATCGATTATCTGCCAATTTCCTCCACCCAGTCTCCTCCAGAGAGAAGACTGTCCATACTGATGTTTTGGGAGTCCTCCAAAGAGACCACTAGGTTCCTACCCAATATCCTTAGAGTAAAGTCTATCAGTTCATAAGGTCCAGCTTATGCAGAGCTTTAATTGATTTATTTTTAAATATTCACCAGACACCGAATAAAAGCCTCTAACATGAAAGTGAGAGACCAAAACAATAGGAAAAGGAATCGGGGGGAAAAAAACAGAAACTTAAAAGAACAGAGTAGGGACGCCTGGGTGGCTCAGTGGTTGAGTGTCTGCCTTGGGCTCAGGGTGTGATCCTGGAGATCCGGGATCGAGTCCCACATCAGGCTTCCTGCATGAAGCCTGCTTCTACCTCTACCTGTGTCTCTGTGCCTCCCTCTCTCTGTCTCTCACGAATAAATAAATAAAATCTTTAAAAAAATAAAAATAAAAGGAACAGAGTAAAACTTCAAAAATACAATAATATCTTCAGATAAGATCATATAGACATGAAATAACAAGATGTTATAATAAAGAAACATAAACAAAACTAGAGCTCTTAAGACTCTGATTGTCCCCAGAATTACAGAAGTGCTAGAATAGGAATGCCTGAGTGGCTCAGCGGATGAGTGTCTGCCTTCGGCTCAGGGCGTGAACCTGGAGACCCGGGATGGAGTCCCATGTCAGGCTCCCTGCATGGAGCCTGCTTCTTCCTCTGCCTGTGTCTCTGCCTCTCTGTGTGTGTCTCTCATGAATGGATAAACAAAAATCTTAATTAAAAAAAAAAAGTGTTAGAATATAAAGTTAAGGAAGTCCTCCAGTAAGTAAAACATAAAAACAAAGAGATGGGGGATCCCTGGGTGGCTCAGCGGTTTAATGCCTGCCTCCCGCCCAGGGTGTGATCCTGGAGACCTGGGATCGAGTCCCATGTCAGGCTCCCTACATGGAGCCTGCTTCTCCCTCTGCCTGTGTCTCTGCCTCTCTCTATGTCTCTCATGAATAAATAAATAAATCTTAAAAAAAAAAAGAGAGAGAGAGAGATGGACATTTGGGGAGAAAAGACAGTAAAGTTGAAGGGTCAAATCCACATGCAGCACAACAGCGGTTTTAGAAAAAGAAAATGAGAAAATGCTGGAGGGTTAGACTATCCAAGATTAGGGTGGGGCGAAACTAAAACACATTCCTTACAGCTGTTGAGGCTGACAGGTCCTGAAGATTTCTTAGAACCCCTTTTCACCTGCCTACCACGTAACAATCACAGTCTCCCCACCAGCTTTCTCCCAAAGCCTGTGCCTACCTGGGGAGAAGGTTTTCGGTAGAAGTGCTTAAGCTGTTCATAGGGCAGAGGCAGTTGTTGGCGCTGGTACATGATATGCTTTAGAAGTTCACAAGTAAAACGACAGCAGCCTTCTTGGCTCACAGGCCCGGGAAACACCACGGGCACCATGCAGTTTCTGGGGTAAAAGGGCTCCGAAGGGTTGGGAGGTTCTTGAGTAGAGGTAGTCTCGAGTAGTTCTATCTGGGGGGCGTGGGTCTCCTCTGACTTCTCATACCATTCCAAATCTAGTAGGGGCGCAGAGGGGAAAAAAGAGACAATGAAAAACTTAAATATGCTTGGCCCTAGGTAGTTTTGTGTTACCTAAAAATATTCCTTTATGAAACAGAGGATGTTTGTAAACAGCGTCCTGCACACCAACCAGGGTGCACAGAAGAAAATCTCCAAGTTATAATTTAGGTGAAAGTCTTTTCCTTTTTTTGCAAAAAAGGGGAAAAAATGAGAAAGGGTTTCATTTGCCCAATGCCAAGGACTGATTTTTGGGAAAAACAAGACAAAAAAAAAAGCCAAAAAGTCAGTCTTCTTCCATGGTCCTGTGGAGGGACAGCCCAACACATTCCCTCCGCAAAATCCGTGTGGGTGGTGGCGGGGAGATTCCCGACCGCGTCGCCTAAGGTGATTTAAGGGACGGCGGGATGGGGGGTGTAGAGGGAGAATTTCGGACGCCGCCGCGACTAGGGCTCCGCTCAGAAAGCGGAGGCCTTGACCTGGGGAAACTAGTTTACAGTCGCTGTAATCAAGCGGGGCGCAGAACGCCGCGGAGAGGGAGACAGAGTGGGCACGAACCAATGGGATCCAGGACCGAGGGGGCGATGGAGCGGGAGCCAGGAGGAACGCCGGCAAATGAGGGCAAGGAAGACGGGCCAGAGAAAAGGCCGTGGGCTAAAAGACTGGTTAGCAGCGGTTAGGAAGGAAACAGGTCCCCAAGGCTCCCGGAGCTGCGGCCCCCAGGCCTTACCAGGTACTGCGGCCGGGCACAGCACTTCCGGCCCCGGAGCCGCCATCACGACCTCCTCCCTCTTCTCCGCGCAGTTTGAATAGGGGCCCCGCGGGGCATCATGGGAAGCTCTCGTCTCCACTTCCGGCGGGGCTGCGGCGAGGGGGCGGGGCGCCGCCGCAGCTGGTGGAAGCCGGGCCGCGTAGGGATCTGGTCCCTGTGGTCGCTGCGAGCGCTCCGGCCGGGGCACGCCGAGGCACGCCGAGGCCTTCCCTCCACAGGGAGCCCACGCTGTCTCAGCCGCTGAAGTCTGTCTTCCGGAGGGCACCCGCTCTCGCACACCCGTTCCCCCTCCCGCGTTCGCTGTTCATTGTGCACCTACTTCGTGCCAGGCCCTGTCCTAGGTGCTGGAGATCCTGGCAAACAAGCAGGAGGCGGTTGCTGTCCTAAGAGTTTTGCTACCTAGAAGTACAATACCACGTGATGAATTATAGACAGTGGCGCGTGCACGGGCTGTGGATAGAAGAACCGGGCACCTAACCTAGATGGTGTGGAAGTGAGGGGTGGCCCCGGAGGAAATATGGCCAAGAAACTGCGACCTATAGGATGAGTAAAGGTAAAGAGGAAGGCCTAGGTATCCTGGAGACCTTGAGAGACAAGAGCATCCTCCATTCAAGGAATGAAAAGAGTTCAGGGGTGCCTGGGTGACTCAGTCGGTTCAGTGAGGGGGCTCTTGATTTCAGCTCAGGTCACGATCTCAGGGTTATGACATCGAGCCTGCCAGGGGCTCCACACGCAGTGCGGGTCTGCTTGAGAGCCGCTCTCCCTCTCCCTCTCTCCCATTTATTCTCTCTCTTTAAATAAATAAATTAAATTAAAAGGGAAAGAAAAGAGTTCAGATTATAAAGAGTTAAGGCTGTAGCAGACTAACAGGAATCAGATCACGGCAGAGCTTTAAAAGCCATTTTAAAAAGCTTGAACTTGGGCAGCCCGGGTGGCTCAGCGGTTTAGCGCCGCCTTCAGCCCAGGGCGTGATCCTGGAGACCCAGCATTGAGTCCCGCGTTGGGCTCCTTGTATGGAGCCTGCTTCTCCCTCTGCCTGTGTCTCTGCCTCTCTCTATCTCTCATGAATAAATAAATAAAATCTTTTAAAAAAAAGTTTGAACTTGATCCTGTAGGGGAATGAGGAAGCTTTGAGAGCTTTAAGTAGGGAAGTGACATGATTAAATTTAATCTCCACAGTGGCCACAGTGTACTGATTACGTTACATTACAAGAAGGATGAGAGGAGGCAGTGATACCAATTAGAGCTAGTGACTACAGTTACCTAAGTGCATTGGTGAAAGAGGCCTAAATTGTGGTAGTCACAGCAGGGTGGAGAGGAATGGGTGAACCCTAGAGATATTTAGGAGGTCCAATAAGCATGACTTGGTGGATGATCCCAGGAAGAGGAAAAGGGATGAAGACAAACAGGTTTTATAAGTTTAGCAGCTGTTGTTCAAAAATGGGCCAGCTGTGCCATTCAATGAAGGAGAGAACACTGAATTCATCTTTTCTCCATACCCACACACCAATAAACCGGGTCTTCCTCTAGTTTTTAATAGGTTGAGTTTGCTGTTCCATTGGACAGTGAAGAGATATTTAGGAACACCATTAGGAACAGAAATGTATTTGAGAGTCATCAGTTTAGGAGTGTATAAGATCACCCAAGGAGGGCATGTATAATGAGGATGAGCTAGAATCCTGAAGACACTAATCACTAATGTTTAGGGGATGAGTAGAAAAAGAAGAGCCTGTGAAGGAGACTGAGGAGTACCCAGAGAGGTATAAAGAAGAATAGATAAGTGTCAGGTCATGGAGGCCAAGAGAGGTGTATCTCAGGAAGTACGAACAGAGACCAAACATACTGTAAAATTACAATGATTAAAATACTGTGGTATTGGTTCAGGAATAAACAAACAAGTAATAAAACAGGAGAGACTCCAGAAACAGATTCATGTATATGTAGATCTTAGTATACGATGAGAGTAAAAGGCAAGTAACTTGAAACAACTCCCTATCCATTTAAAAGAAAAAACATCAAAGTAGTTCCTACCTCACATCCTACATAAATTCCAAATGGATTAAAGATCTAGGGGCGCTCGTGTGGCACAGTTAAGTGGCTGACTCTTGGTTTTGGCTCAGGTCATGATCTCAGGGTCCTAGGATCGAGTCTGGCTCCATGCTCAGCTCAGAGCCTGCTTCAGGATTCTCTCTCTCCTTCTGCCCCAACCCCCACTCTTGCTCATGCTGTCTCTCCCTCAAATCTTTATAAAAACTGGATTATAGATTTAAACATAAAAATAGGGGCTCCGGGATCCCTGGGTGGCGCAGCGGTTTGGCGCCTGCCCTTGGCCCAGGGCGCAATCCTGGAGACCCTGGATCGAATCCCACGTCGGGCTCCCGGTGCATGGAGCCTGCTTCTCCCTCTGCCTATGTCTCTGCCTCTCTCTGTGTGTGTGACTATCATAAATAAATAAAAATTAAAAAAAATAGGGGCTCCTGGGTGGCTCAATGGTTGAGCATCTGCCTTCGGCTCATGGCATGATCCTGGGGTCCTGGGATAGAGTTCTGCATCAAGCTCCTGGCAGGGAACCTGCTTCTTCCTCTGCCTATGTCTCTGCCTCTCTCTGTGTCTCTTATGAATAAATAAACAAAATCTTTAAAAACTAAACCTCAAAACTCCTTGCAGAAAATACTGGGGAGTAATTCACAATCTTGGAGTGGGGTTACCCCTAGGCATGACACAAAACCAAGGAAGTATAAATGACAGGTTGCTAACTCTGAACTTAAAACTTATGTAAAGATACTATACACAAAGAATAAATGACTGATTATATACCAGGAAAAATTGTGTGTGTGTGTGTGTGTGTGTGTGTGTGTATAATCCCATATACAACCACCTCATAAGCAACACCTCCAGGAAACCAAACATATATGCCACCTTCCATCTCCCAGGACCCTGATCTCCTCCTGGACAGCCATCTACTCTTCTGCCAGCCTTTACTCCTGTCTTTGGTAAGCTAGGTTGTTCAAAACTGGGATACAGGAATAGGTTATCCCCTCTCATCTCTCTCTCTTTTTTTTTTAAGATTTTATTTATTCATGAAAGACACAGAGGAGAGAGAGAGGCAGAGACACAGGCAGAGGGAGAAGCAGGTTCTATGCAGGGAGCCTGATGTGGTACTCGATTCCGGGACTTCAGGATCATGCCCTGGGCTGAAGGCAGGCGCTAAACCGCTGAGCCACCCAGGGATCCCCCCCCACGTCCCCATGTCTTAAGGGAAGTTCTCCATTTAGAAGGCAAGGGGATTGGGATGGGAACAAAGTGAAATTGTGTGTGTTGGGTGATTGAAAGACCCAAGAAGATGAGAGGATGAGTGTTATCAGGTGAATGCAGCAGGCCCTGGTTATCAAGAGAACGCAGAACTGGCATTGGTGAGAATGTTGGGGGAATAGTCTTGAATCTCCCAACCCCCAACCTTCTTGAGATCTCTTACTGAGTTCTTCAGTCTCAATCTCTAAGTAGCAGTTTTCCTGGCATCCTGGTGCCCCTGGCTGGAGTTGACCTCTGCAGCACAATCTTCCTTTAGCTGAATAGGGTTGAGACGAGTGAAGTATGTGTGCTTTCAACCACTGAAGACCATAAAATTAGCTGGATCTGCCAGTCCCTTTGGCAGACTTTGGTCCTTCTGCTCCCACGGCTTTGGGGAGTTATGCCATGTGGACAGCAACTAAATGATCAATAACCCACCTCCTTCCTTGTGGTCTTGAGGGGAAGCCATGGACTCTACCAGGTCTGAACCTCTGAAAGGATTACCAGAGGTAAGCCACTGTTGCTGCTTCTAATCTTCCAAAGAAAACTGAGATCGGGAGGAAAGGGCTCTTTTATTTCTTGGCTGTGTGAAAGCATCCTGATGTTTGTGAAAGAGGGGAAGTGGACATAGGTTGACTGGTGAATCATGAGACAGCCATGGGGCTAGGAATTGAACCTTAGCGTCCTGACTCCCAGCCCAGTAACACTTCTCCACTCTGCCTTTCTAGTGTCTTGTGCACTGGTTTTTCTGTCACTGAGTGTGTTTACCCTTTGCCGACTGCAAGAGCCCTAAAGAGCAAGAGAGATAGCAAGAAAGTCAAAAGTCAGTAATCCCCTGGGCCCTTGGCCAAGTTTCTTTTGCCGGCCATTTCCCCCAGCCATGGCCCTAGCCAGTGGCGGACGTAACCCGAGCCCCAGCACCGCCCCAAGTAGAGGCCAGGCCCCTCCTACGAGCCTGGCTATTTTAAAACTAAACTCGCTGTGCGGGGATTGGTTCTGCTTCAAAACAAAGGGGAGGGGTAATACTCGTTGCCGGGATCCTTGTAGCCTTCCGGCTGCAAGGCTGGTTTATGGGTTTGGGCCTCGTGTCCGTGGCACCGCAGTGTCTCGGGTTGCTAAAACCAGCCCCTGGAGGGTGCCAGCCTGGTAATAAAGTAGTGACTACTGGGTAAAGGTGGCATAATCATCACAACAATAACAGCCGTAATTAGGCTAACCACCATCTGCCTCCGCCCTGGCATTCGGCCTGACTCACCCAGACGGCACGCCAGCTGTCGGGGAAGAAACTGAGGCAGGGGCGGAGCCAGTCGGCTGGAGGGACGTGTCGCCGTGAATTTTGCAGCTCTCCAGGTCCGAAACCTGTTGTCTGCGATCTCGCTAAGGGGCCTTACCAAGGAGCGCCACAAAGCTTCATTCTGATGTAACCCCTCCGCCTCTGGTGACTGCCCCACCCCCAGACGCGGGGCTTCAAACTTCCCCCCAAGGAGGCGCTAGGAAAACACCCGATCAGAGCGCGGAGATTGAAAATCAGACTACAGCTCCCCTAGACCTTTGCGCGCATAAGCGCACTCCTCGCCGACGCCCCGAAGCCACGCCGCGGCCCCTTGAGCTGCAATGCCTCCTGGGAATTGTAGGGCAGCTGGCAGCTCATTTAGGGGAGGTCTTAGGCTTGAGGACTCTCTCTCCCATGGTGCCCTGCGGCTGTTTCTGTCGCGACCCGGGGCAAAAGCAGGGTGGGGGCGTGGCCCGCGCAGGGCCCCACCCCGCTCTCCTCTGGCTGGCCGGACGCGGCGGTGGCAGTAGGGGCGGCGGCGGCGGCGGGGGGGAGGGGCCGGGCGGGGGGCTGGCGGCAGCGGCGGATGGACTCGCGGGTATCGGAGCTGTTCGGCGGCTGCTGCCGGCCCGGAGGGGGCCCGGCCGTGGGCGGAACCCTTAAGGCAAGGGGGGCCGGCGGCAGCAGCGGCTGCGGGGGCCCAAAGGGGAAAAAGAAGAACGGAAGGAACAGAGGGGGCAAAGCCAACAACCCTCCATACCTGCCCCCCGAGGTGAGCCCCGTGAGAAGTGGCGGGTGAGAGGAAATCATTCTTTCCGGTCCCGGGACTCCAGGGAGGCGGGACGGAGGGAATTGATACCCCCTTCCGGTGTCAGAACCCTGGGGGGAGAGGAGAACCCTTCCTTCCGGTCCCAGGACCCCAAGGAGGACCTGCCCTCCGGTGTCAGGACCCCAGGGAGGAAGAGTGGGGAGGGAGGAGCCCCCCATTCTGATCCAGTAACTCCAGGAGGAAAAATGGGGAAAAGGCATCCCACTTTCATCGCCTTAGGAAGAGCAAAGTAGAATGCCCTGGCTTCATCCTTCTGCAACAGAAGGGAGACTACATCCTGGGATGAAGAGGCAGAGTTTTCTAAACTTGTTCGGCAGGGGAGGAGGGGAGTACTAGGGAAAGGAGCAATATGTTCCGTCTCTATCCCTGAGTACACATATACACACACATATAAAAACAGACAACAGTCAAGCTTAAGTCCTCCTGCCCTTTGTCCTATGAGGAAGTGGAGATGGCTTCTGCACACCTGCTCCATCTCTGTCTAAGGCAGAGAATAACTGCTATTTTGTCCCTCTTAGGAAAGGCGGACAGAGGGGAAAAGCCTAAGCTAGTGGTTTTCAAACTTTAGCATGTATCAAGATCACCTGGATTGCTGCCTCACCCCTGGAGTTGCTGATTCAGTAGGTCAGAAGTGGCCCTGATACTTTGCATTTCTTACAAGTTCCCAGGCGGTGTTAATGCTGTTGGTTCTGGGATCACACTTTGAGAACCATTGGCCTAGACTTTCATCCTTATACCACTTTTCTGAAGCCACCCATCCAAATTCGTCATATTTAGAAAACAATAAAAAAGGAAGGTCTCTGGTAATGGGAAAAGATCTACCTTATACCTGTTAGAGGCTGGGAGTTAGAGGGCCTTGAAGAGATGGAATGATGACAGGAAGAACAAAAGAAAAAGAAACTGTCAAGGAGAACTGCCAAAATGCAGGCAGGCAGGACAAGCAAATCTCTTACCTGTTGCACCCTAGAGGGGAAGGCTCATGCAATAGGTTGTTTCTCTGGTGGGTCAGTTGATAGAGGGAAGATGTAAAGGTGGTTGTGTGGATAGATTCAGGATTTTACCTCGTCTGAGGCATGTGAATCTGGTTTGTGGAGTCTGTCCCCTTTAATGCATTTTCTGAGTTTCTTCATCTCAGACCCAACTTTAGAACCCTGCCCCTCATTTTACCTGGGCTCATCTCTCAGCACGCTTATAATGACCAGTGCTGAGCTCACCCTTTGGCCTTGGTCCAGAACCTCTCGCAGCTTCTTGCTCTTGGTGACATCAGCTGAGAGGGTGGGCAGGAAGGAAATGGTGTCTCCCACACAAGTGGCAAAGAATGACCTCAGCAGCCTGAACACAGAGCAGATCTAGACTTCTAGGGACAACAGTTTGAGGCCCCAGGGAGAAGGAAGGGGTGATCTTGCATCTAGGAAGAGGATACCACCAGTGATCAAAGAAAGGATGGACTAGGGTTCCATTTTTGACTTACACGAGTGACTCACTGTATTCTTAGAGGCCTTTCCTTCAGAGACGTCCACTGGGACTGAATAGAGGGTTTTTCTGTCAATAACCTTTGGCAGGCATCTGTCTCAGCAGGTGCCACTGAGGTTCCTGCTCTCTCGAGTTAGCTGCCTGGGCCCCAGCAGGAATCAGAAAGAAATAGAAGTTGGTCAGGACAGTGTGTCATAACTGCTCTCTGTCTTTTTTCAGGCTGAAGATGGAAACATCGAATATAAAGTGAGTCTTAGGCTGGGGAAGGGCCGGTTATCCTTACGGGTGTGGGGTGATTTTTCTGAGATCCTTCCAACATCATGATCTATAGGAGTTTAGGGATATGATTCAGGGTAAAGGCTCTGTACCTCATTCTGTCAGAGAGAGGGGGACTCAGTGTTAGAGGAGGCCAGGGATGAGGGGGTTTGAGTGGGAAGGGGTAAGGTCCTAGTCCCTGTAGCAGGACGGGGGGGCGGGGGGGGGGCATGAGGGTTTAGGAGGAGCAGCTCTGACTTCATTTTCTTATGACACCTCACCTGTCTTAAGCTGAAGCTGGTGAATCCATCCCAGTACCGCTTTGAGCACCTGGTGACACAGATGAAGTGGCGGCTCCAGGAGGGCCGCGGTGAGGCCGTCTACCAGATTGGGGTAGAGGACAATGGGCTGCTGGTGGGGCTGGCTGAGGAGGAGATGCGGGCGTCCCTCAAGACTCTGCACCGGATGGCAGAGAAGTACGCTTCCCATTCCCCCTAGGTTCTCTTCATCTGGCTCTGGAGAAGACCTGTGAATACCCAGTCACCTCGGGCCTGAGGGGCCTAGGAGAGACTTTCCTGCTGCCTCCTCTTGACAAAGGGCTGAAGGGGGGAGGGTTAGTGTTCTGGGCTCCTCCATGTTGGACTGAGGCTTTTTCGCTCCTTGATTTAAGATTTGTTTAAAAGGATGTGAGATAGATTGGAGGGTGGTAGGAAGTGAAGTACAATGCTGAGAGGTGTGGTCCAGAGCCAGGTTGGAAGGTAGAGGGCAGAAGAGTACAGGTGAGATGTGGCAGCTGTGGCCTTGCTGTGACAGGGTTGGGGCAGATATCACTGTTCTCCGAGAGCGAGAAGTGGATTATGATAGCGACATGCCCCGGAAGATTACCGAAGTGCTGGTACGAAAGGTCCCTGACAACCAACAGGTAAGCACACGCCCTTCCCTACCTCTCACACCCTTGCTCCTGAGGAGGGCCCCATGGTGGCACATTGTTCACTGGCTGGCCCGGGAACATGGGGGCGTCCAAGTCCTTTGGTCCCCAGGGAGTGTCACTGCCCTTAACCCAACCTTCGGTGGAGAAACAAGGGATTGGAGCCCTTACCTCTGGCAATTCATCCACAGTTCCTAGACCTCCGTGTGGCCGTCCTGGGCAATGTGGACTCAGGGAAGTCGACTCTGCTTGGAGTCCTGACCCAGGGAGAGCTGGACAATGGGCGGGGCCGGGCTCGGCTCAACCTTTTCCGCCACCTGCATGAGATTCAGTCTGGCCGAACTTCCAGCATCAGCTTCGAGATCCTGGGCTTTAACAGCAAGGGAGAGGTGCATGCAATCAGCGGGACCCAGTGGGGCCAGACTCTGAGGATGGGATGGTAGTGGTAAAGAACAGCCCAAGGGCAGAGTGTGGAGACTTTTTGGAGTAGTGTAGAAGAAGACCCTGAGGGCAGTGAACATGCTCTGTCTCCTTAGCAAACAAATGGGAAACAGCTGAATTAAAGCAGATATGGGGCTCAGGGTTAAGAGGCAGGGTCACCCAGTGACTGGTTTAGGTCCTGGCGACTCTTAAAAGGGTTGGGGAGGCTGGCAGGGGGCACTGAGAGCCCTGGGCTCTGGGCCAGGTGGTGAATTACAGTGACTCACGGACGGCAGAAGAGATCTGTGAAAGCAGCTCCAAGATGATCACCTTCATCGACCTGGCAGGCCACCATAAGTACCTACACACCACCATCTTTGGCCTCACATCATACTGCCCCGACTGTGCCCTGCTCCTCGTCAGTGCTAACACTGGGATTGGTACGAGGCATTGGGGCAGGGACGGGGCTGGAGGGGGGTGCTGACTCTCCTACCCTGGGCCTCCTCAAAACTGGGAGTCAGATGTGAACTCTCCTGTTCCCCCTGCCCCCTCCCACATTCTCACCCTTCTCTCCTGCTGCCTGCCTGTCTTCTCTGAGGCAGCTGGCACCACCAGGGAACACCTAGGGCTGGCCCTGGCTCTGAAAGTGCCATTCTTCATCGTGGTCAGCAAGGTGGACCTCTGTGCCAAGACTACTGTGGAGAGGACGGTGCGCCAGTTAGAGCGGGTCCTCAAGCAGCCTGGCTGCCACAAGGTCCCCATGCTGGTCACCTCCGAGGATGATGCTGTCACTGCGGCACAGCAGTTTGCCCAGTCACCCAAGTAAGCCTTTCTCACTCCAGAGCCCCGATCCACAGGGAAGGCTGCCATGTGGCGTCCCAGCCCAGGGCCAGACCAGTTGTGGTGCAGTTTTGTGGTTTTTCAGGTTGGGATTGTGGGAGGGAGTCTGTGCTAGCCAGCCTGGGGTCTTGCCGGTGCCTGGGACCCAAGAGACCAAGGGCTATGCCAGGCATTCGCTGTTTCCCTTGGCTCTGGGCTGGGCCTTGTGAGCCACATTCCTTGGCTGTGTCACAGAGACAGGACTCAGAGCTCCTGAGGTTAGCAGATAGGAGAGAGGTGCCCCAGAAGCCCACCATTACTTGCAGGGAGTTCTAGCCTCTGCTTCCTGTCCGAAGCTTCCTCAACTGTCCATTCCATGCCTCCCTGTCCAGCGTCACTCCTATCTTCACACTGTCCAGTGTGTCCGGAGAGAGTCTGGACCTGCTTAAAGTGTTTCTGAACATCTTGCCACCACTCACCAACAGCAAAGAGCAGGAGGAGCTCATGCAGCAGCTGACAGAGTTCCAGGTAATTGGGCCACATGTCCTCGCAGTGAGCGGGAGAACTGGGAGGGACTAATTCTGACCTAGTCCTGATGCTGTTTAGAGATTTTGGACTTGCCAGGTCTACTTGGCTGGCCGTTGATAGCATGTTTTTCGGCTTCAGGTGGATGAAATCTACACAGTACCAGAGGTGGGGACAGTTGTTGGAGGGACACTTTCCAGGTGAATTTCTTTGCTTGCCACCCACCCCATTCAGCCCTCACGTACCCACACACTTGATCACAGCCTTAGGGCGACCCCGGAGTTCTACTGAGCCCATCTGAATGCGGTGCTGGTTTCTGGATTGGGCTTTCACCACGACAAGAACTGGAGAAAGCTAGTCTCTTGTCTCACGAGGAAAGAAACAGTCTTGCTGCTGACTGGAAATCTCCAGGCTCCTGGAGGAGAATTATGGGTCTTGAGCCCCAGTTGTATTCAACTGGCATCATTTCCACGTAGGGAAATGAGAGCTCCCTTAAGACTCTTTTCAAAGCAGAGGGTGTATCTAGGGGCAAAGCAGCAGGTACCTCTCTCACCATCACTACCGATCCTTCCAGGTATTAGCTGTCTAGTCTAAGTCTGAACCTTGAACCATGGCCTCCTCCACTGCCCCTCTCTTCCCCCTCCTGTGGGAGTCAGCCATAGAAGGGAATGTCTTGGGTGACCCTCGCATAAAAGCCGGTGTGTGTTGGGAGGTGGCTAGACTGACACTGTGCCACCTGCCCTCTGGGCTGCAGTGGGATTTGCCGTGAGGGGGACCAGCTGGTGGTGGGCCCCACGGACGATGGCTGCTTCCTGGAGCTGAGAGTGTGCAGCATCCAGCGCAACCGCTCTGCCTGTCGTGTGCTGCGAGCTGGTCAGGCTGCTACGTTGGCCCTCGGAGACTTTGACCGTGCACTTCTGCGCAAGGTGAGGTGGGAGGATGGATTGGAGAAGGGAACACAGAGAAGTGCCTGGGAACCTGGCCGCTTGATTGAGAAGCACCTAAGACACTTGAGAGGAACTTGAAGGAAACAGTCTCTAACCAAAGAAGCTCGTTACATAGACTGTATGAAAAAAGCTTAGGATACACAGAATACTTAAATATGACTCATGGTCATGCAATCTGAATGTCCAGGAGCCTATAATACTAAGTATTAGAAGAAGGATTAGAGAACATGGGAGGGATAGGAAGGGTTATAAGTGGATATTTGAATATTGTCTTCTGAGGTCTTTGTGTTTGAAGTCTTAGAAGAAGAGGTTTAGGAGCTGGCAGGGGTGTGAGGGTGGTTGGGGAAGGAAAGACTAATGCAAGGTCTGCCCTTGATCCGGGGCCTCCCTAGGGCATGGTGATGGTGAGCCCCGAGATGAATCCCACCATCTGCTCAGTGTTCGAGGCAGAGATTGTCCTACTATTCCATGCCACCACGTTCCGGCGAGGCTTCCAGGTGACAGTACATGTGGGCAACGTACGTCAGACAGCAGTGGTGGAAAAGATCCACGCCAAGGTGAGAGGGACCCAGCCATGCTGTTTTTCCAGGGGAAAGTCAGAATTCTTCTGCCTCCAGAAAGGAAAGAGGCCTGGCCCCAGACTCATAAAGAACTAACTCCTCCCAGACCCAACAAAGGGGACGAAGCCCCACTCTGGGGGGGTAGAAGCCTGATAGGGCCCTGAGGGTGGAGAGCCAAGGCTGGCAGAGAATGGGATGGGAGGCACATTGTCCAGGACCAGTGACGGCATATCTGCTGCAGGACAAGCTGCGGACAGGGGAGAAGGCAGTGGTACGTTTCCGCTTCCTGAAACACCCAGAATACCTGAAGGTGGGCGCCAAGCTGCTGTTCCGGGAGGGTGTCACCAAGGGCATCGGCCATGTCACTGATGTGCAAGCCATTGCAGCAGGAGAGGCGCAGGCCAACATGGGCTTCTGAACTCCTCCAGGCAGGCACAGCTCCATTGCTGTCCCTACAATATATAAGGTGACTTCTGGCCATGCTGCCCCCTGTTGGCGGCTCTGTGTTAATAGGTGAGGGAGAGACCAGTGCTCTCTGCCCTGTGCTCCCTGCCACTTTTCTGGAGAGGTGCCAAGCTTGGTGTGGCCAGGGAGGGGCAGTCCTGAGGGAGAAGACAGGAGAATTCAGGGCAGTGCTCAGCAGCTGTGTGTCCACCTGGTTGGCTCATCAACCCTGGCAACCCTGTGGCCCGTCTACTGGAGGGAGCTGACCACCGCCACCTTGGCCCCACTGTCCGGACTGGGCATGATTCGCCGGTGTGGTCCTTGAAAGCACTCCTTTTTCTATACCTCTTCTCAAGGCCATGTAAGTTGCCCATCTCTACTTGACTGTGGACAAAAGACATTTGCTCCTGGCCATCTGGTGGCCCAGGGTCTGAAGAAATGGCACAGGGACAGTGCTCCCACCTTGTGCTGAGACATGAGGTCTGTTCCTCAGCTTTGTTTCCTTTCCCTTCCTCACTTAAGGGCCATATCCCATTTCTCTGCTCATAGGCCCCACAGGTGCTATTTGTTGTGCTGACCCAGGCGTGGGGCTGCCAAGCTAAGGTTTGGCATACCGAAGGTCAGCTGCATGTCAATCTGTCTTGTCCCCTCCTCTGCAGTGATTTGTTGGTTTTAATGCTGGATCAGTGTTTTACTTTCCCAGACTAGTGACTGGGGACCTGACCCACAGTTCCCCATCCTGCCACCCTTACCCACCCCCCTTTCTGCTCCCACTTAAGTCCTCCCTCTGTTGCAGGGAACCTGGAGGAAAGGGAAAGATGTTGCCATATTTCCTACTCTTTTAGGGCATGGACTCCCTCCTTTCCTTTTGTTAATGTCCTGGGTGCCCCGGACTCAGGGATTTGTTGGTTCAGGTTTCTCTGCATATATGTATATACACACACACACACACGTGTATATATATATATATATATACACCCATACATACATATATATACATATATATATTTAAATACATATATATTGTACAGAATAAAAAATGTTTTATTGAACATACTGTGCTTATGCTTAAGATACGGGCTCAGCTTCCAGAGCTAGATTCCTCTTCAGGATGAGAAACTAGTGAAACCCTAACACTGCTGAGCCATGAATGGGGAAAGAACCCATCTGGTATCTCATTCACCATTTTTCCTTTCCTCTCCTTCCCATGCAGTCAGTGTTCCAATATTGTGACCTGGGTATTCTGGCTAATTTGCATAGTTCTCCGAAGAGCAAAATAGAAAGTGAAACTGTTGCCTTTTCAGCTGAAGATAGGTAACCAACTGCTTGAGGAACTGGCCACTTGCTGTGGTCAGAGTGGTGAGGAGCCTGCTCCTGTGCTGTGTCAGAGATATGGAGATTAGCATGCCAGCTACTTAATAGAATGGATCCTAGAGTCACGGTAATCTGGCCCTCACACTTTCCCTAGCAATGCAGTAGAGCCTGAAGTGAAATTTACATAGCCTAAACTGGCTTCTTGGAGCTGAAGGCCAAACCTTAGTCCTTTCTTCCTATTTCTGTGTACCTGGCCTGTTTTATGGGGCTGCATTTTGAGTACTGATCCTTGCAAAATGATTTTTTAAATATTTTATTCATGCAAAAGAATTTTTTTAAAAAATATTCATGACACAGAGAGAGATACAGAGACATAGGCAGAGGAAGAAGCAGGCCGCATGCAGGGAGCCCGATGCAGGACTCAATCCAGGGCCCCTGGGATCACAACCTGAGCTGAAGGCAGACGCTTAACCGCTGAGCCACACAGGCGTCCTTGCAAAACAAATTTAATGATAAATGTGGTCCGAGTCCCATGAGGCATTCTGTGGGAGAATTTTGCTGGTTTTTTGTTTGTTTGTTTTTTTAAAGAGTGTGTGAGCCTGCAAGCAGCAGTGGGGGAGGGGGGCAGACAGAGAGAGAGAGAATCAATCTTCCAATTGGTGTGTGACACAGGGCTCAATTTCAAGACCCCAAGATCATGACCTGAACTGAAATCAAGAGTTGGATGCTCAACCGACAGCCCCCCAGGTACCTCTGTCCCCACAGTATTAAATTTTTTTTTAAAGATTTTATTTATTCATGAGAGGCACACACACAGAGAGAGAGAGAGAGAGGCAGAGAGACACAGGTAGAGGGAGAAGCAGGCTTCATCCAAGGGAGCCCGACCTGGACTCGATCCCGTCTCCAGGATCACACCCAGGGCCGTAGGCGGCGCCAAACCGCTGCACCACTGGGGCTGCCCCCCACAGTATTAAATTAATAGCTTTCCTAACTATTCAAGCTCTGCTGCTTTTAAAAATATCAGTGGCTTAACTTGCTACTGTAAGAAGCCTGTGTTTGAACAACTTCCTCCTGTGTTGGGGACTAAGCCATTTACTTCCTATGTGCAACTGTTGATAAACAGCTGAGAAAAGGTTGTATTCAACAAAAAGGTGCTATAGTTTTCACCCAACACTGACCTTTACATGTCTGTGTGCTGTCCCTTCCACGGGCTTATTCCCAGTACGTGGGGCAGGGTTGGCATTTCCAAGAAAACAGGTGTGCTGCTGTTATTGTTACTAGTTACCCACTATCCCCACCCGTCTTGGCCTCTATACCGACAAAACCAAAGTTTTTACCACTTTGCTTTTCTGTATGACTCTTTCCAACCAACCAACATGTTCAAAATTTGTTCCACTTAATCTGTATAGGACCTGAGAGTATTGCTTCATTTTAGGCTTTTTTTTTTTTTAAATTTTTCACTAGATTAAGAAAGGAGACTTTAGAAAATGATCAGCACTTAATGAGAAATCTTCAGGAACCAGTGAACTATACCTTATTAATGGAACATTTAGGATAAAAAGATGTTTAAGGCAGCGCCCCCCCCAGTAGCATGTACAATTTTACTGTTCCAGTTCTAGTAATCTAAAATTACTACATGTTTCATCCAGTGAGTATCAAGTACCTACTATGTGCAAGGCACTGTGAAGAATTCTTGACTTCAAGAAACTACAGATATGGTAGGGAAAGGGCCATGTACACATTATTCAACTGCCACAAGAGGAAAATATTTTTGAAGGAAGAAATAATTTTCTGGGACACTCAGTATTTTTCAAATGCTACCACCTTCTTCAAACTAAATATAGACCTGCAATTTATAAATACGTTTGAAAAGCAGTTGGTTTGTGTGTTATATATGAGATGGAGGGATATATACCCCATACTTCTGACCCACTTCCCCCACCACCACCTAGTTCAGTTCATTTTCAGTTGGGTTCTGTGTAATGCAAGGTTTCCCATACCAAAAAAGCTGACTTTCCACATATAAGAACAAAGATTAAGAATACAGTACTATATACGTGGACAAGTGCAGAAAGCTACAATAAACCTTATGCTCAATATTCAAACATCAAAAGGGAACAGATGAACATGCCAGTGGCCCTGAAGGCCAAGTAGTACCTCTTAAATTTGTACTTCAGGGTTTAAAGAAATGTCATTGCCTTCTGCAAACCCATGACTGGCCATGGCATCTTCTAGATTGGTATTACTCAAACACCCTGGAGAATCTTGTTAATATACAGATTCTGATTCCATAGGGGTGAGGCTGAGACAGTTTCTAAATAGTTCCTTGATGACACTGATGCTGTTTCTCAAAATCACACTCAGCCTAGCAAGATTCTAGAGATGATCTAGTTCTGATCGTGACTTACCCAGTCTAAACAGAGTTTCTGAACTGGCCCATTAACAATCTTATTCTACATTAGATCAAATGCAGGAGGTAGAAGGGCCAGTGGCTAAAATTGTGGCCATAAATAGGGTTTAGTTGTATGAAATTCAGTATGTATGTATGTATGTATTCATGAGAGACACAGAGAGGGAGGCAGAGACACAGGCAGAGGGAGGAGAAGCAGGCTCCATGCAAGGAGCCTGATGTGGGACTCAGTCCGAGGCCTCAGGGATCACACCCTGAGCAAAAGGCAGATGCTCAACCACTGAGCCACCCCGGCGTCCCAAATTCAGTATTTATTGAGCAGCTTCTGTGAACAGAGGCCTGCCCTTAACATGTTATCACTTGAGGGTTTCAGGTCTTCACCTGATCTCAAACATCACATTTTGGTCAAAGCATTATCTGAACTGCCCCTGTCACAGAGCTTGGGGAAAAGGTTTTTTTAAATTGTTTTTTTCTCATCCAGTTCCTTTTTCTGCCATCTTTAAGCTCTGTACTTTAAATACATTGTCCTTAATCTCCCATAATCTGTAACGCATATCAGTTTTACAGATGAGGAAAAGTGTGGAAAGTGCCTCTCCTAGGCTTCAAGGCCCACATATTTGTACTCTGACACTGCCTCCCTAAACTCTAATGATTAAAAACTCAAAGCATTTGTATCTCTGCAATGATAAATTAGTTTTTACATCTCTATCAGCAATGGAATTAGAATCCATGCATGTGAAGAGATGGGAGTTTTAACTCAGCACCTAACTGGATTATTTATCTTACTAAAAATTTCATAAAGTTATAGATTTCCTTGAGAAGTGAACATATTTCCATCTCCTTGTTTCCAGGTAAAATATTAAAACCCTGCAGTAAGCCTGAGGCCACCACTAGTGTGTTAATGGTTTAAAAAATGATTCCAATGTCTGCATGCCCTCAGGCCTAGTTCGCTTACTATTGGAAGCTGAAGGGCTTTTGGGATTTCTTTTGCTTTGATAACTGGCAGGAACAACCTGCATATTTGAGGAGTGGGGCTGCAAAAAGGATTTCTGTAACTCCAATGCAAAATGATAGTCCGTATGTTCTGGCATCTCCCATACAGGTACCAGAGAGCCACACTTCTCACAGGGCACTTGGTCCTCAGCTGCCATAGGACTTGGAGTTGTAGTTGACTTCTGAGCCACCTCCAGAGCAGAACTGGAAGAAGCAAGCCTGCTTGGGCTGTTCTGGGTCAAATCCAGCTCTGTAGGAGTTGTTTTAGAGGTTCCTAGCTTTGGTACTGCTTGACAGACAGGGGTGTAATTTGGATACTGTGTTGGAAAACCGTTTGTTAACTCTTCAGGACTAGACTGTGAATTTTGTGGAGGGAAGAAAATCGAAGGATTATTAAGCTGTTTCTGCTTTAGAAGTAGACTCTTCTGCTTAAAGAAGGGCTCAATTCCTGTAGTACGACTGGTTTGGAAAGGTAAGGAGGGCTTGGATGGTGAATTGCTCATGGGCACCTGGGCAGTGGCAGTAAGAGATGACAGTGAAGCTTCTTTGACTTTCTGCTTTTTTGCAGCTTTTTGGAAGAATGATTCCAGAGAAGTAGTTGCTTTCTTAGTGGCTGTCACTGCTAGGTCACATCCCTGGGTCTTAGCTTCTGAACCGGAAACTGGCATCTTTGTCACAGAACTTGGGTCACTGCTCAAGAAGGTGGTGATGTCTGTGCAAGATGAAGGGGCAGGAGCGGAGAATTTGGTAGCACAGAGGAAAAGCATTGTGAGGGGAGGGGACCTGTATAGAAAGTAAAGGAACAAGATTAGCACCTGGTCACAGATGCAGTTTGTAAATGACTGTGATTATGGTTCTGCCACAAGAAGAAACTATTATTGCAGTGTTCTTAAATTTTAGGGTATGAGATTAATACAGATTCAATAGAGCTGGGATAGGCAGAGAATATGCCTTCCTAGGCATATTCAAGTCAAGTCAAGAGAATAAGTTCCTAGGTGATGCTGATGTTGCTGGCTTAGGACCACATCTTGAGAATTGCTGACTTGGTAAACATTTAACCAGGTCAGACATATATAAATTGGATCCCCTTACACCTAGGTATTCATAAGATATATCAGAAGATACATCAGAGTAGCTGTAATTCAGGGTTGAGGCAAGAAATTTTATTCAGGGCAACAAAAAAGCTTTAGAATATTTAGACTGGGAAGTCTCTTGGAAAAAAAAATCCTGTTACCCATTCTGGTTTTTTTTGTTGTTGTTGTTGTTTGTTTTTAAGATTTTTATGCATGAGAGACACACAGAGAGAGGCAGAAACACAGGCAGAGGGAGAAGCAGGCTCCCTGCCAGGAGCTCGATGCTGGACTTGATCCCAGGACCCCATTATGCCCTGAGCCAAAGGCAGATGCTCAACTGTTGAGCCACCCAGGCATCCCACTCATTCTATTTTTAAAGAGTGTACTGCTTGGGCAGCCCAGGTAGCTCAGCGATTTAGTGCCGCCTTTGGCCCAGGGTGTGATCCTGGAGACCCGGGATTGAGTTCCACGTCTGTCTCCCTGCATGGAGCCTGCTTCTCCCTCTGCCTATGTCTTTGTCTCTCTCTGTGTCTCTCATGAATGAATAAATAAAATCTTAAAAAAAAAAAACAAAAAAAAAGAGTGTACTGCTTAACACTCATTCGGACAGACTTTTCAACTTGAGTTTCTAGAGAATGAAATTCTACAACTGGAATTACCTATCCTAGTCTCAGAAATATGTCAAGAAATTCCTGTCATAGAGTTAACTCATTATGTCTAATTACTCAAACAATTTTCACATTAGTTGAATTTCAGAAGATACAACATGTTTTGTTTTGTTTTTTTTTAAGATTTTATTTATTCATGAGAGACACAGAGGCAGAGACACAGGCAGAGGGAGAAACAGGCTGCATGCAGGGAGCCCCACGTGGGACTCAATCCTGGGTCTCCAGGATCACACCCTGGACTGAAGGCGGCGCTAAACCGCTGAGCCACCGGGGCTGCCCTACAACATGGTTTTATATACAGATTAGCCCCTCAATGAGGTGAAGAGTAAATGCTGTTTTAAAATTGTTATGGGGCAGCCCCAGTGGCTCAGGGGTTTAGCGCCGCCTTCAGCCTGGGGTTTGATCCTGGAGACCCAGGATCTAGTCCACATCTGGCTCCCTGCATGGAGCCTGCTCCTCTCTCTGCCTGTGTCTTTGCCTCTCTCTCTATGTGTCTCTCATGAATAAATAAATAAAATCTTAAAAAAATAAAATAAGATAAAATTGTTATGACAGTTATCTCACTATCCTCTGGTTTCATACTTTTGTAAAGTCTTATAATCAGATCATTTTGATGCTTCCCTGTCAGTAAGTTTCCCGGTAAGTATTTGTTAGAGTCTGTCAATTTTTAAGGTTTCATATGAACATAGAATCCTATTTATCATTTAGTTCATTGAAACTGTTCAATATTTTAAAATAAACACATATACCAGGAAGTAAAAGTCAAATAAATTATTCCACACAAAGAACAAGGATTCCAGCTTTAGAGACCCTATCATATTGTAGGTCTGCACATGCAGTAGTAATAAACACATATTTAGATAAGCAATAGGTGTTCAGTGAAATTTTGTTTATTTATAGTTGACATAACTAATGTCACATTAGTTTCAAGTTAAACTTTTATTTATAATCTTCAGCATAGATCTATAAACAACCAATTTATGTTTCTCACATAATTTATTTCCATTGTGAATTAGGAATTCTTTTTTCAATGTAACAGGCTATGTTAAATAGAGGATTCCAATACTGAAAATCATTAATATCTGAACAATAAACACACTCCAATCATATATTTGGTTATTTTTCATTACCAAATAAAATGAAATTTAATATGACATTTAGTATTATAGCAGTGGACCTTGTAATTGGGATGTTAGAATGAAGATTATCCATGAATCTAAATCTAGGTCATTTTCATTATCAAGAAAGATGGTTTTAAGATAGAACAGTTAAGTGTTGAGTTCCTTTTTTTTTTTTTTTTTTAAGTGTTGAGTTCCTAAGTGTATCCTTGAAACTTGAGTTCCATACTCACACAGGCAATTGGTTGTTCCCTCTGCTTGCAGCAAAGACAGGGATGATTGTGGTGTACACTGCCTCTGAAACACATCCTGAGAACCGGAATGCACCCAATGTAGGCAAAGCAGCTGTAACTGAGCTGCCTTGTTTCTGGGGTTTCTGTTGTGTTCTCCCATTCCTCTCTGATAGGTCCTACTGGCCAAAGTCACCAAGAACCTACCCCAGCTGGAGAACTATATACCCATGACTTAGAGCAAATCAGGGCACAGGTGTCTTCTGCAAAGACAAGATAAAATTAAACTCACCAGTCAGTTTTGATTCCTGAAGTGTTACAGTTCTTGATGACAGCAAATGCATCATGGCTCATTTTGTGAGCATCATAGCGGGTAAGGGCACAGCAGCGACGCAGGCTGCTGAGACGTTTGTCTCCTTGTACACGAATGCTCACAGCCAACTGGGTGGCCACCCTGTCATTCTGTGGATATAAAAAGATTGAGACCAGAACTACAGTTATTGTGAACATCTGGATTCTATATATTGAACCGTGTGAGAGGAAATTAAAAGAACCATCATGACAGAATGGTTTAGAAATTGTCACGCTTAATTTTTTTTAAGGCTTATTTATTTTAGAAATGAGGAGAGAGAGCACAAGTGCGGGCGAGGGGCAGAGCGAGAGAAGTTCAAGCAGTTTCCTTGCTGAGTGTGGAGCCCAACATGGGACTGGATCCAAGGACTGCAAGATCATGACCTGAGCCGAAAGCAAGAGTCAGACACTTAACCTACTGAGCCACTCAGGTGCCTCAGTGACATTTCATTTTTAAAAATATTTTGTGCTGGGGCACCTGAGTGGCTCAGTGGGTTAAGCATCTGACTTCAGCTCAGGTTGTGATCTCAGGGTCCTGGGATCCAGTGTGCCACTTTGGGCTCCCTGTTCAGCAGAGACCTTGCTTCTCTAATCCTCTCCTTCTGTCCCTCCCCCTGCTCATGCACTCTCTCTCAAATAATAAATAAAATGCTTTAAAAGGGATGCCTGGGTGGCTCAGAGGTTGGGCAGCTGCCTTTGGCTGAGATCGTGATCCCAGGATCTGGGATCGAGTCCCGCATCTGGCTCTTGCAAGGACCCTGCTCCTCCCTCTGCCTGTGTCTCTCCCTCTCTCTCTGTATCTCTCATGAATAAATAAATAAAATCTTAAAAAAATCCTTTAAAAAATTTATGCTATTAGCATAAGAAGTAACTGGAGCATACAGAACCTGAATGATGAAATATTAGAATATCTAGGATATTTTGACAGGTGATGGGAACAGGACAGAATAAATGAAAATGGGGACTCTTGAACGTTTTTTGTGCTGTCCATGCAGGAAGATTATAACCAATATTTATTCTATTTTGTGACTGAAGGAAGGGCTCATTTAAGTAATTGTCTGAAAGGAAGATCCAAGGGAGGATGTCAAGATTGAGTAGTGGATCTGGTCTTCTGCTAGTGCAGAAGTTTCCACTAGCACCACCTCCTTTTACCCTATCTATAGAAGATACAGTGTAGTGAGCCTGCATTTAGAGAGCAAGATCACTGATCCACTTTTCTTTTTTTTTTTTAATTTTATTTATTTATTTATTTATTTTTATTTATGATAGTCACACACACACACACAGAGAGAGAGAGAGAGGGAGGCAGAGACACAGGCAGAGGGAGAAGCAGGCTCCATGCACCGGGAGCCCAACGTGGGATTCGATCCCGGGTCTCCAGGATTGCGCCCTGGGCCAAAGGCAGGCGCCAAACTGCTGCGCCACCCAGGGATCCCTGATCCACTTTTCAGTGAAGTCTAAGCAATTGAATATTGTTGATACAAAACAAAGAAATAAAGGTCAAGAAGCAGAGATATAAGAAGGTGAAAAGTCTACACAGGGATCCCCTCAAAATCAAAAGATAGTGGTGACAAGAAATACCCCCAAAGGCAAACAAACCAAGAGCAACTATTTTTGGGGGTAAGAATATATTTTGTATTTTTTGTACATTTTGTAAATAAAATTAATAAGAATTTATCTTTAGACAATACAAATTGGCAATTACAAAGGAGTCTTTGTTGACTAAAACTATTCAACAACAAACTAAATGCTGACTATGTATCAGCTTCTGTCTAGAGATACAGGAGAGAACAAAATAAAAGTCCAGGCCCATATGGATCTTATCCTGTAGTAGGAGCCACAGAAATAAACAAGCAGGCTGTAATAGAAAGGACTACAAAATGCTATGAGAAGAAGCAGAGTAAAGCAGAGCATGATGAAGGCTACTGATGTGATAGGGTATTGGAAAGGCCTCTTGGAGAAGATGACCTTTGAGCAGAGACCTGAATAAAGTGAGGGAGGAAATTTTAATATCTAAGTAAAGATTCTCCAGGCCAAAGGAACAGCAAGTACAAAATTGCTAAGGTGGGGGTTTGGTGAGTTAAATAAAAGGGAAGGCAGCCAGTGGAGGGGAGGCTACAGCAGAGAAGGAAGGGGGAGAAGACAGTAGCCAGAGAAGTAGCCAGAGACCAAATCATTTTGGTCATTATAGAATAAAAGAAATCCACACAGGACTTAAGTATGAAGGGAAGCCACTAGAATACTTTAAACAGTGAAGTGACAAGGATCTTTCATGTCCAGAATTACTTTTGGGATAAAGTCCTTATTTTAAGCTTAAAGACAGATAAATTTCCAGGGATCCCTACTGTGCTTCATTAGATACAAAGTGGGAGGGAAAGCCCCACTTTAAGGCTTTTAAAGCCTTATGAAACTTTATAAAAAGAAATGAGAACAGAGCGACACCTAGTGAACAAAGGCAAACAGGCCCATTAACACAACTGGGATCCTCTCCCTGTTTATGTTCCCCACCAAAGAACAAACATTCACCATCACCAATTCAGCTAACATAGGACAAACAGGTAATTGTGGATGATTTCTGACAGTCTATAGTTGACTTGTAGGACTCCTAGTTGTGGAAACACGAGAGAATACATCAAACAATACCATCAAGAAAGTGAAAAAAAAAAAAAACAGAATGGGAGAAAATATTTGCAAATTATCTGACAAGATACTTGTACCCAGAATATATAAAGAACTCGTAAAATGCAATAATGAAGAAATAAACCACTTCAAAAATGGGCACAGGATCTTGACAAATTTCTCTAAGGAAGATATCGGCCAATAAAACACTTGAAAACCACAATGAGACACCACTTCGCATCCACTATGGATAAAATAAAAAGTAATAAGGATATAGTGAAATTAAAACCTTTTTATATTGCTGGGAATGTAACATAGTACAGCAACAGTCTGGTAGTTCCTCAAAATGGCTAAACAGTTACCATGTGAACCAGCAATTCTAATCCTAGGCATATACCCAAGAGAAACGAAACATATGTCGACACAAAAATCTGTACATGAATGTTCATAGCAACATTGCTCATAAAAGCCAAAAAGGGAAACAACTCAAATATCCATTCACCAATCAACAGATAAACAAAATATGGTAAACCCATACAATATATTATTCATTCATAAAAGGAAAAAAGATACCGATACATGTTACAATATAAGTGAACCTTGAAATTTATTTTGTTAACCAAAAGATTTCAAGCCAGTCAAAAGACCACAAATTGCCTTAGTCCTCATATATGTCCAAAATAGTAAGTCTATGAGGACAAAGCACACTGGCAGTTGCCTAGGGTGAGTAACTGCTAATGGGTATAGGATTTCTTTTTTGGGTGATGAAAATGTTCTTAAATTGATTGCAGAATGGTTGAACAACTCTGATACTAAGTTCAAACTGTATACTGTAAATGAGTGAATTTTATGGAAAATATCAATAAAGCTACTTTTTAAAAGATTTTTTAAAAATTTACTTATTTGAGAGAGAATGAGACACAGAGAGGGAGAAGCAGACACTCACTGAGCAGGGAGCCTGACATGGGGCTCAATTCCAGGACCCTAGGATCATGACCTGAACCAAAGGCAGACGACGACCGACTGAGCCACCCAGGTGCCCCAATAAAACTATTTTTTTAAAGGAAAGGATAAAGAAACTAATCATCAGATGTCAAAATTTTTACTTCATCCTCTGTCTCTAAAACTTCCAGTACATCTCTGTCACATGGACTATGTTTAAATTTCAATAATTTTTTTTTTAAATTTTTATTTATTTACGATAGTCACAGAGAGAGAGAGGCAGAGACACAGGCAGAGGGAGAAGCAGGCTCCATGCACCGGGAGCCCGACGTGGGATTCGATCCCGGGTCTCCAGGATCGCGCCCTGGGCCAAAGGCAGGCGCCAAACCGCTGCGCCACCCAGGGATCCCAAATTTCAATAATTTACAGTCTAATCCCTGAGTGTGCTATTTAATGGCTCTGTACTCTGATGAAGATGCACTGTATATTCAGGATTACAGGAGGTAGGTGAGATAAGAAATATACAAGAGTAGAAGCAAATAGTAATGGGGGAGATGGGGTAGTCAGGTCTTGTGTTCACAGACATAGGTTTTCAAAAGATCATGTTGAGTGTTAGGGAAGATTTCTTAAAATTTCTTAGTCTGGTATTTTTTGCCTTTTTTTTAGTCTGGTATCTTTTTGTATTTTTGTTTCTATTCCTCTTCCAGGTAAGCAACAACTGGTATTTATTTTATTTTTTTTAAAGATATATATTTTTTTAAATTTATTTATGATAGTCACAGAGAGAGAGAGAGAGAGAGAGAGAGAGAGAGGCAGAGACATAGGCAGAGGGAGAAGCAGGCTCCACGCACCGGGAGCCCAATGTGGGATTCAATCCTGAGTCTCCAGGATCGCGCCCTGGGCCAAAGGCAGGCGCCAAACCGCTGCGCCACCCAGGGATCCCAACAACTGGTATTTAAATCCCAAAGCTCACCCCAAGAATAAAGAAAGAAAATCTTACATCATTTTGGTCCTTGGTTAGTCTCTCCTCTAGTTCCTGGGCTAATTGCAAAAGCCACCATTGTACCTAAAAAAGTGTTGAGACTTTAATATTTCATTTTAAAATTCTAGGTTTGTTATAGTACTAAAAGGAGGATTTGTTCAGTTCTCTCACAAATATAAGTGTACAGTAAAGTCTCCACCATAACCAAGGGATCACCAGATTATAAAAACCTTCTGACTTGCCCTAGCTCAAGATTTTCATTTTCTTTTCCTGCTGGCATGCCATCAGGTGAACTTCAGGCATGTTCCAGCTGAGTAAAAAGAACAAAACACAAACTTGAGGCATAATATCCCAGGCCTTCCAAGTTACCACCTAGCAAAAAAAAAAAAAAATTAGTAATTCAATTTTGACCTTCAGTTAGTTCTATTTTATTTTTTTCTTGGATGGAAAAAATAAATCAAGCTCAATTTTCAACACACAAAGAACTTCATGCTTTACAACAGAAAGGTCTCATCTAACTTACTAAACTTCCTACAGTTACCAAAACCCACCCACTAACCCCTTTAAAAGAGGCAATGTTCTTGTCAAGAATGCCTGCCTACCTGTTCCCGAGTAGTCAGAGCTGTCTTTCCTGGGAAGTTCTTACTGCAGCCAATGGTTTTAGGTAGTTGCCTGGGTTTAACTGGATCATGTTCAATCCCACGGCACATGGCATATAGCCAAGATCTAATAAAAGCAAAAAATGTGAAAACAATTATTAAAATAAAATACTTACATTGAATTACCCTTTTATCTCCTTCATGGAAAAAGAAAAATTTTCCCAAAATTAAGTATCACTCACCTCTAACAGAATCCCTGCCCTTCTCAATGAATTCTAGTGCAATATATTGCCAAGGAGAGGGACAGTGGTTATGCTTTTTAAAGTCAAGTCATCATTTGTGTTTTTGGAAAAGTGCTGAGCAAACCACTGATTCATAACCCCAAGTTTTTTGGTACTAAGTCTAAATACAAAGATTTTAAAGGAATTATCAGCAATTTAGCACACAAAAATGGTGTATATATATATCCAAGCCTATCAACCTACTTAGGTAAATGAAAAACTGGACTGATAGGCCACAGTGATCTAATATTTTTAAGCAAAAAGACCAAAGAAGGGCAGCCCCTGTGGCGCAGCGGTTTAGCGCCGCCTGCAGCCTAGGGCATGATCCTGGAGACCCTGGATCGAGTCCCATGTCAGGCCCTCTGCATGGTGCCTGCTTCTCCCTCTGCCTGTGTCTCTGCCTCTCTCTCTCTCTGTCTGTCTGTGTGTGTGTCTCTATGAATAAATAAAAAATAAAATAAATTGGGAACTTTAAAAAAAAAAAAAGACCAATGAAAGTACTTTGAGGAACAAATGTTAAAGATAGGTCTAGATTTTACCAGATGCTTTTATCTAGATTTGAATTTACCATCCCCATAAAGGTTATGACTGAAAAGTATTAGGAACCACTTACCCATTCTTCTCCCCAAAATGACTCTGGAGCTGAGATTCAGTGAACTGAGTCAGTTCACCCATGTATTCCACCCCCAGGATTTCAATGACAGAAGCACCTAGCTTTCCTCCAAGACTACGGCTAATAAGAGAGACAAGAATTTACAGGTCACATCATAAGTATCTGGTTAGCAGCAGACCTAAGAAATTTTGCTGTGTAAGTAGGTCTTCAGAGGATTAAGGGAAAATGAGAGCACATATTGGTCCTGTAAACTATTAATTTTCTAGTTTAAGACTGAATGATTCTGGAAATTAAAATACTCTGGGTGTTAGGACCTGGGAAGATTAACAATAGCATAAACAAAGGTTTAAAGTCATTGATTAGGGATCCCTGGGTGGCGCAACGGTTTGGCGCCTGCCTTTGGCCCAGGGCGCGATCCTGGAGACCCGGGATCGAATCCCACATGGGGCTCCCGGTGCATGGAGCCTGCTTCTCCCTCTGCCTGTGTCTCTGCCTCTCTCTCTTTCTCTCTCTGTGACTATCATAAAAAAAAAATTTAAAGTCATTGATTAGTTATTAAATCAACTGTATATAAAACTTTCAATTACACAGGATCTACTGTCCCATTTAGGGATTAAAATTCCAACCCCAGGGGCGCCTAGGTGGCTCAAACGGTTAAGCAGTTAAGCATCTGCCTTTGGCTCAGGTCATGATCCCAGGATCCTGAGATTCAGCCTAGACTCCCTGCTCAGTGGGGAGTCTGCTTCTCCCTCTCCTTCTGCCCCTCCTCCAGTTTGTGCCTGTTCTCTCTTGTGCTCTCTCAAATAAATCTTTTAAAGAAAAATGTTCAACCTCAAAACAAATCCCATTTCATAGCCAAAACCTTTTATATTTAAGAATAAAAATTTGTAAAAAAAAAAAAAAAAAAAGAATAAAAATTTGTAAGCTTGGTCTTTGAGGCTTCCTATAATCTGTCCTCAACCTACCTTTTATGTCCTATTTCTCTCGCTTATCTTCTTCAATATGGTCCAGTTAAACTAGTTTATGTCCCAGCTCACTGAAAATACCTTACACTTTTCCCTTCTTTGTTTTAAAAACATTATTGAAATCAGAACTGCTCTTCAATTCTCATCTGACAAAACAAAATCTCATGTCTTTTCATAAATCTTTCTCAGATTTCTCCTCTATGAACTTCGGTAACTACCTGTACAACTCATTTAGCAACTACTCATGTACAGTCTTGATAACACTTTCACTGTTTCCACTGTTACATCTGGTCCCTTCTACAATACTATATGCCCTTGCCAAGGACACACATTGGTATGCACAACCTAGTTATTCATTTTATTTGGCTTTTGCTCTCATACCTAGTTTGGGAGCAGTTCAGCAGCCCCGAACACCCTGATATCACATTAGAAGAAAAAAAAGAAGTAAAGTATCTATTTGTTTTGCTATTTAGTAACAGATTTGAATAAAAAGGCTAGAGGGACATTAACTATAGAGCTAAAAATCAGTTCATTTTTAAAATTCAGGATTAAGTAACTTCCACAGATAATCCAGAATTGAAGGTTCATCAGGAAAAAAGTCTCTTGTGTTTTTCAAAATTCCCTGTGTATCTCCCTTGTACCTTCCTGGCTACCCTGGGAGCCAATTTTTCATAAGGAACAGAAGAAACCAGAGTATCTTCATAAGGATATGAGTCAAATTGAACGTACTTCCTGAATACTTACATTTTGCTAATAGGCATCTGGCTGAAGAGCTGTGGGACTGACCCATGTGAGACCAGGGTTTGGCGGTTGGGCTTGTTCAGTCCACAGGCCAGTTTTGCCAGGACCTGCAGCATGAAAAGCATAAAAACTTCATTACTGCCAACCTCACCCACACGGAGACTTGGTGAATATTAACACACATGTACAAACACAGGCACAGCTTAAGGGCTGTAACTAATAGTTTCCACGTTAAAAACAAAAACACCACCAGAAACTCAAGACATCTCTAAACTTGGTGTCCCACAATATCCTCAGTGGAAACTAGGACCCACTATCACCACCCTTATTGTTCTTTCCATAACTTCTATTCTTGGTTTTCCTTTGATCATGTTTTTCCATCCCCATCTATTCCTTAAGGTTCTCCTATTATTAGCCTATTTTGAGTCCTGGATTTTTTTTTTTAAGATTTTATTTATTTCTTCATGAGAGACACAGAAGAGAGGCAGAGATATAGACAGAGGGAGAAGCAGGCTCCATGTAGGGAGCCTGTTGTGGGACTCGATCCCAGGACTCCAGGATCATGCCCTGAGCCAAAGGCAGACACTCAACTGCTGAGCCACTCAGGTGTCCCTTGAGTCCTGGATTTAACACAGTACCATAATTTAAGTATCTGTGATAGAGATTAGACTCAAAACCATCCTCCAATAGCAAATATACTAGAAACAAGTCTTCAAAATGAAAAAACTTAAATCCTTGAGAACTCTTTTGAGAGAATAAGGTGCTTTACCGGTATCATTTCACAAATTATAATTGGTAGGAATAGTATAAAATCATCCTTTAAATTCAATGGAGAGTTTCCCTGGAACTTCTACTAGGCAACATTTAGTTTCATTTAAATTACTACAGTGGGACTTTGGTTTCCCCTCCCTTCACCCAATCAGAAAAACCTCTAAATCTCTGTGGGATAGTTTGGCAATTGGAGGGAGGGGGGGAAAGGTAGTAACCAGGATAATCAGCCACTGCCCAATTACTGAACCTAGTCAGCAGGGGACGAAGATCCCAGACCCTCACTGCACTTAATAAGTAAACTTGTTATTCTGCCCCTGTATCACTGACAATTGTCTGTATTCCCTAAATTAAAATAGTGATCCAAATTAATCCAAATTAATAAAATTTTATTATTCCACCTCACTTATTTTGTTTTAAAGATTTTATTTATTTATTCATGAGAGACACACAGAGAGAGGCAGAGACACAGGCAGAGGGAGAAGCAGACTCCATGCAGGGAGCCCAATGTGGGACTGAATCCTGGGACCCTGGGATCACACCCTGAGCCAAAGGTAGACGCCCAACCATTGAGCCACTCAGATGTCCCTATTCCACCTCACTTACTGCTTTCATTAGAAAGGAGGGTATAAGCAAAAGCATAAAATACTCAGGAAATTCCACAGAAGTTTTGAGATAATACTAGGATATTCAGCAAGTGAAAAGAAAGAGGTTCATAAATAAAATTTAAAGACTAACCTCCTTTCTATAGATAGTTCAGTCATTAAGGAAATATTTTGGATACAACTACATAAGGATTTTCTGCAGATTTTTCAGAATACTTCTTAGGAAAATACATGTTCAATGACATTTCCCTTGTTAGAGAATTACTCAGGCTTTTATTTGGTCCTCAAAATAAATTCTAAATAGAAACCCATTTCAAAGTATACATATAATGATTTAAGTGCCCTATTCATACCAATCCTTGCTGTATTTAACTACAGATATATATGTTTCTCCTCAAAACCCAGTATTAGCCTTCACCTTATTGTGTGAAATTCCAGCTGAACACTGAAAGCCTGTCTCCCTCTCTATGGCTGCTCTCACTTCCTCCACAATCACTGCTCCAACAGTGAGCTGCAGGTCTGGAGAGGTGTTGTTATCAATCTGAAGAGAATCAAGCCATTGAAATAAGCCTTGTTTTCGGATCTCCTCTGAAAAAATAGAAAGGTTGTATTTAGACTTTTTTTTTTAAGTCAGGATTTTGTGTTATCTAATACAGAAATGCTTCCATTTCACAGTACTTTAGATATGTACATTTTCTTTTTTCTTTTAATTCAAGAGAGAGAGAGAGAGACAGAGACAGAGCATGACTGGGGAGAGGGAGAGGGACAAGCAGACTCCTCAGCGAGCATGGAGGGAGATGTGGGGCTTGATCTCAGGACCCTAAGATCGTGACCTGAGTTGAAGTCAGACATTTAACCAAATAAACCACCCAGGTACCCTGATATGTACATTTTCACACACACAAAACGGCAGTTGTTTACAGACTTCTTGGTACTCAAAAGAGAGATCAATTTCTGCGTCCTATAATTCCAGCAGCCTTAGCTTCAGCTTAGGCTGAACCTTATAATATGCAACAAACATTTTATATTGTCTTTCATGATCAATGCTAATTTTTTAATAAACATTTTTCCTTAAGATTTTATTTGAGAAAGAGAGAGCAGAGAAAGCATGAGTTGGAGGGAGGGGCAAAGGCAGACTCCTTGCTGAGGGAGAAGCAGACTCCTTGCTGAGAAAGGAGCCCGATGCAGGACTTGACCCCAGGACCTCGGTATCATGATCTGAGCCGAAAGAAGTAGACACTTAACCAACTGAGCCACCCAGGTGCCCCTCATGATCAATAATTTTAAAGTATATCCGTTTTCTCTCTCTGGTTCTCTGGAACTTCCTTCCTCCAACTTTCTCTGGCACACCCCCTCCCTCAAGAATTGTTATTCAATTAGAAAATATTCAGAATTAACTCATGCTTCAAAATAATGTTAGTATTTTTTTTTTTTATGATAGTCACACACAGAGAGAGAGAGAGGCAGAGACACAGGCAGAGGGAGAAGCAGGCTCCATGCACCAGGAGCCCGATGTGGGATTCGATCCCGGGTCTCCAGGATCGCGCCCTGGGCCAAAGGCAGGCGCCAAACCACTGTGCCACCCAGGGATCCCAATGTTAGTATTTATGGATTTTCAGAGACTGGTTTTCCTGGTGAGTAGCTAAAATTCTGATGATTCTCCTGACAAGTTATTGAAATTAGTAGCTTTGGACTCAGGGCCTTGAAAATATCTTACTATCCAATTTAGAACTAGTCAGTTTTGAAAAAGCCTAAAAAATGATTATACAGCAGGGGAGGTAGGCATAGAGAAAACCTAGACATGTTGGTTTAAAGAGACAGTAATGAGGTATGAGCAAGGCAAGAAAATACACTCAAATTATTGTGGGGAGGTATAATGAAGGTTCACATATATAGAGGAGAAAGATAAGCACATAGAACTTTCCAACTCTTGATGGCTGCTTCTCTCCTTTGCTGGCTTGTCTTCTTCCTCCAACACTCTTAGCAGATACTCAGCAACATTCTACTCTGTATATATGCTTTTTCTCTCGGTCAATAATTGGTACTGACTTACATTTCAATTTGCTTATGCTGAGTACAAGCAAATCTTAATCTCTATTCCCAAACTCTTTTTTTAAAGATTCATTTATTCATAAGAGACACACACAGGCAGAGGGAGAAGCAGGCTCCATGCAGGGAGCCTGATGGAGGACTCAATCCTGGGACTCGGGGATCACGACCTGAGCAGGCGCTTAACCACAAAGCCACCCAGGCATCCCCTCTATTCCCAAACTCTTAAACTCTAATCCCTTATCTCCACCTCCCCACAAAATAACTCTTCTTGAATTTTTCATTATAGTTTCAAACTATGGCTCACTATACTTTCTAAACGTAACTAAAATCAATCTTTTAATATCTTCCTTCTCAAATATTCTTTCCCAAACAACTCCCTATTTCTTTCTTTTCTTTTCTTTCTTTCTTCTTTCTTTTCTTTTCTTTTTCTTTCTTTCTTTCTTTCTCTTTCTTTCTTCTTTCTCTCTTTTTTTTTTAAGATTTTATTTATGAGAGAGAGGACAGAGGGGAGAGGGGGCAGGAGGAGCAGGCTCCCCTGGAACAGGGAGGCCAATATGGAACTCGATCGCAGAACCCCAGGATCATGACCTGAGCCAAAGGCAGACACCTAACCAACTGAGCCACCCAGATGCCCCTCTTTCTTTTCTTTTCTTTTCTTTTCTTTTCTTTTCTTTTCTTTTTTAAAGTAGGCTCCACGCTGGGAGTCCAACACAAAGCTTAAACTCACAACCATGAGATCAAGAGTTGGACGCTTAACTGACTTAGCTACCCAAGGACCCCACAACTCCCTGTTTCTAATAAGGGTTCGAAATTAAAATAATATTGGGATCCTTTCTTTCATTCCCCATTAATTAGTCAACAAAACCAATTTCAAATATCCACTGCAATCCGCCGTATTTTATTCAGGTTTTCTTCATTCTTGCCCAGACCACCTTACCTCCTAAACCACCCTCTCCCTGAATGCATTTTACAAAATGCTCATGAATGAAATATTCTCAAATACCAAATACTGTTCAAAACAGTTAACTCTCTCACACCTACAGAATAAAGTACCAATTCTATAAACTGGCACTGAAGACCGTCTGGCCTTTCAATTAATCTTCCATTAACCCCAAATTTGTTATATCTTTACAATTTCCAGAACATATGATGTTTCAAACTTAAGACATCACTTATTCTATTTCCCTGATCTTTTATTATTTATTTATTTATTTGTTTATTTATTTATTTATTTATTCATGACAGAGAGAGAGAGCGGCAGAGACACAGGCAGAGGGAGAAGTAGGCTCCATGCAGGGACTCGATCCCAGGTCTCTTGGATCATGCCCTGGGCTGAAGGCAGTGCTAAACCACTGAGCCACCCAGGCTGCCCTGATCTTCTTAAGTCTGTTCTCTTTGCTTAAATATTTTTTTTTAAATTTTTATTTATTTATGATAGTCACACACAGAGAGAGAGAGGCAGAGACACAGGCAGAGGGAGAAACAGGCTCCATGCACCGGGAGCCCGATGTGGGATTCGATCCTGGGTCTCCAGGATCGCGCCGTGGGCCAAAGGCAGGCGCCAAACCGCTGCGCCACCCAGGGATCCCACTTTGCTTAAATATTATCTATACTTTAGGTCTTATTCAAGTCTCATCTATCATGTGGTCTTCTCCAACTTGTCTAGCTAACTTTGGGGTGCCCCATTAAAGTTCTTTAGCTTTTATCTGTAACCATATAGTATAATTGTTAAAAGAATATTCTGCAGTAAGGCAGTGTTCAAATATTAACTTTATACTAAACTATTGACTTTGAACAAGTTCCTAATTCTCTAAGTTTCAGTTTCGTTGTCTGACATGAGCTTACGTACTGTATCTCATAGGATTGTTGTGAGAATGATATATAATTTGTGTATATGTGCATACATGTGTAAATGTATATATATAATTTCACTAAAGGTCCTTAGCACAGTGCCTTGCATATATTAGCAACAGTAAATATGACAGCCTTCTTTTAAAACCATTTTTTTATTAGGTTTGGGAAACAAAAAATATCAGTTTATTGAAATTGTAGGATTTCTGGGCATTTGTCTCAACTACTAGAGCTAAATTTTCTTTGCTTTAGATTTCTTCCTTATTGTTTTCCCAGATTAAGTAATATATCACAATCCTGTAACAGGGCCACAAAAGATAAGCAGCATTTGTTTCCTTCTGTAGTTGATAAGAATCTGTACCATTTTGGTTTTTCTCTGATACACTGAAGTGGACTAGCAGGAGAAGATTCAGCCAATTTTTGGTATAAAATGCCCACTAGAACTGAGAGACTTTCCTTTTCATACTGGATTATCTGAGTAGCTTTGTGTAAATCAACTGACCAAAAAAAAAAAAAATGTGGTAATCTACTTGTGTACTTTATATTCTGTACCATGGATCTGTCTCATCTTACTTTTTTTTTTTTTTAAGATTTTATTTATTTATTCATGAGAGACAGAACGAGAGAGAGAGAGAAGCAGAGACACAGGATCCATGCAGGCAATGCGACGTGGGACTTGATCCCAGGTCTCCAGGATCATGCCCTGGGCTGAAGGTGGCACTAAACTGCTGAGCCACCCGGGCTGCCCTCTGTCTCATCTTACACCAACACTACACTACCCTAGTTATTGTAAATTTATAGTTAAATCTTTTTTAAGTAGGCACCATACCCCACATTGGGCTTCACGTGGGGTTTGAACTCATGACCCTGAGATCAAGCCCTGAGCTGAGATCAAGAGTTGGACACTTAACCAACTGAGCCACCCAGGTGGTACCCCATCCTTTGCATTTCCATACAAATTTTCAGTTTGGCAATTGCTACAAAATCCTGCTGTGAGTCTAGGAGGGAACGCAATGAATCTTAGGTCAATTTTGGGAGACTTGAACTCTAATAATATTTAGTCTTTTGATCTAATTTCTCAGGAATATTTTATAGTTTTTACTAAATTAGTTTTTCACATATATTTCACATACTTATCTCTAATAATTTCATGATTTAATGCTATTGCAAATAATATGGCTTTTTAAATTTCAATTTCCTATTTTAAATTTTAGTGTGTAGAAATGCTATTGATGGGGTTAAGCTGATAAAACCTTTAGCTATAAACTACAACTCCAGGTACCGTAACTACAAAAAAGACCCTGTACTGAAATTAAGTGTGCCCTTCTCTATGCTATGAACTGATTAGTGTATTCCAAGCTACCTCTGGTTATTAACAGAATTTGGTCCCCATCTTCTTGCTGGCTATCAGCAGAGGGCAGCTCTCAGAGCCTAGCCATGGGGGCCTTCTCCAAAGGCCCTCTCACAATATGGCATGCCGCTTATGTCTTCAAAGCCATCGGGGGGTGGGGGGGAGGGCTCCAACACCCATGACTCTCATCTTTAACAATGATTTATAATTTCTTATACTACTACACAACTGCTTCATGGCATAGGCATTCAGAGGTTCAATATATGCTTAAACATAAATAAAGAGCAAAGGAAGGTGGTAACTAAGGAGTTCCTCAGCTAATACAAACTACTTA